AATTTAATGTTAATTTAATTTAATATGAATTAAGGAAATTAAGAATTAAGGAAAACTATGTACTTTTTGAAATTGCATTAAAGGATTCGACGAGGGCATTCTTCTGTGTTATGGGAAAGCAGCCGAGATGCAGCATTAATGCAAATGAAGTGATACGAATGAGAGAATATCACAAGTATTCCCGTACAAGCCTGTAAATCGGGTCCGCGATAAGGCTCTACACAAATAAATATCGGAATAAAACCTTTTAAGTGTGCCCTGCTATCTCGCGAATTGCTCTAAGCGGAGATAAACAGCCGGCGTCGGAGATTTAACAGTGTCCTTTATGCATTTAAATTAAATATGTTATTACTTTAATGGAACGTGTAATGCCACTCGGAATATTCATGGAAAATATAATATTTGCGGGACGGCCTTTTCCAACACATCATTCATGTCTTCAACGAGTGATACGGCAATTCTTTTAATCTGTGAGAAATTTTATTTATCAATGGAAGATTATGCTTTTAGTGTGATGTTCTTATATTTTTATAAAAGATAAGCGAGTTACATCAAAGCAGGTGGTAAGAGAAACTTGGCGGCATAATATGCAATACAATGGCAAATGTCCGTTGCAATTCTGATGGAATTACGCCATAATAGTTGGGAATGGTTGAAAGTTACATATCTAAGACTTCCTCCTGTCAATTTACAGACAAAAGAAGGTTAAAACAAAATGTATGGCTTTTATAAGCATATCTCTAAAATAAAGATACGTAGACTAACTTTTCTGTGTCCGATTTACTGGCTGAGTCTAAATATCCCGGGATTCAGGCAAGTCGTTTTATAACAACTAGCGCTATATATCTACGTTAAGTATCGTCTGTAGTTCACTTAACGGTTTAAAATGCGAAATGTATTAGTTAACATTTCCAGAACTTATTTTAACTACATTTCGCGTTTTAAACGTTTAATAGTGTTTTATTTTAATATATGCGATATGTGAGTAACGGTAGCCAATCCTAATAATGACTGATGATGCATTACAGAGTTAACCGCCTTCGGTACAGAGAGTATTAAATAGACATGTCTAATTAAAACCCTGATTGATTCCGCGGCCAATACAGAAGCTACCGAGAGCTACAAGTTAATAACGGTTTCCGTTTTAAGCGTGATTAACTTTTTAATAGCCGAAGGATTATTTGTCAATGTCAATATTAAGTAGCGTTTAATATTCATACAATTATGGAACGTTTGAGATTCGTACATTTGCATTTAAATAAATCTATTTTCACATAGACGTGTTATTGTGTAAGAATTACGATTTAAAATTAAATAAAACAATATTTTAAACACAATAAAGGCGGCTTTATTTGTTTATTCTTTTAAATCTAACTTTTTTTGGTTTTTATATTAATGCAATAAGTGTAAACTCTCTTCTCAAAATATAGTTGATTGATGAATAAGAGAAAGAACCTTATCTTACCTTACCTTCATATCACATGTTTTTATGTAAGTAATCATAATAATTAATGCTTACAAAATGTATTACAATTATTGTAGTTCATAGTATATAGTTTACTAGAGTTGAAATAATAAGGCAAATTAACACGTCGAGTAAATGGGCGCAATTAGATAGCCGTAATGATTGGAAAAGAGGAGTTTAGTTAGCGAGACCACCCGCGCTTATCCTGCGGCGAGCACGCGCGGAGGCTTTGTACTAAGAAAATTGGCTGACAACGGTACCTGCTGAGGTATCGATAACATTCTTAACTAGATAAGTAAAGATGTCTAGTTAACAATAAACAACTATTTCCGAAGTCTTTTAACAAGGTAAAATCTAATAACTGAGGACACAATAGCATGACTTTATGGTCAATAAAATATAACATCTAAACGAGATTCGCTGTACATCTATTTTGGCTATTCGAAAATTCGCAGATTGAAACGGAAATGCGATTAAACTTCGCGGCTTTTTCTTGACCCGGACGGTTATTTCCGATATTCCTACCAGCTACATCCAGATTTCCAGACGAAGTTCGACAACTTTTATAAGAATTATAAATTGATTAGAAAAGTGTTGATCCAAATGAGCCCGCCAAAACAATGAGAGCTAGCTTATCAAATGCGCATATTAAACATGAAGTAGCGCAAAGACTTTGCCTCGTGCTACTCTTAAACTTCTCTAGACAGAATAAACTTTTTAGTACTTTAAGTCTTAGCAGAATAATAAAATATGTCTAACAAGTATTCAAAATAAGCTACATTCTTCAAAGCGGCCACCCGGGGCCACGCTCAGGAATGCCACAAATTGATTTTCCCATATGATAGATATGCCTTCTAGGAATATCAGACATTAATTCGTCGCGAACCAGTCCATAGTAAGGTTTCAGATCACGTATCGGGATGACTCTATTTTAATATTGCGCGCTTGATTTTTATCGGCCATTGTCTTTTCTGGCTATACGTGATGTAACGATGGCGCCTATTTCACTATAATTTATGTTGAGTGAGTATTATTATATGGCGCTTATGGTTACCTAACATTAGTGGTTTATGCTAGTGCATTTAAAATTAAACAGTCAGTCTCCCGTGACCGACGGGTCCCGTGCTAAAACGAACCCCGAGCTGCCGGAAACTTAATCAATAAGTCATAATTCGTTTATTTAGTAATATAAAATTGTAGGATTTCTATGTTACTGAACTAGTTTTCGCGAATATGATACTACTAAAACATCAGCAGCCATGGCCACCCATAAACACTGCAGCTGCATAGCATCCGGAACGGTCGTAGTTAACATAAGTTGATAAAAAAATATTCCGCGTTTTAAGCCGTTAAAATTATTTTATTTTAATATTAAACATAATTTTCGTAAATACTGAAGCCAGTCCAAACTAAACTCCGCTTGATCGCGTGTATGTTAAAAAATATCCAAAAAAAAAACGAAAACTACATGGTCACCTTACATTGCACTTGGCATTCTACAAGAAACCGCCATTTGAGATTGAAGCGATGCCCGGTGTGAATTTAGTAGCGTTTATATTACAATATGCTTCTATTCGCAGCGGCCCAACTGGCTACCGGAATTTTACATGGCTTACATGTTCTGCATCAGAATATCCACCGAATTTTATGCATAACTTACAATAATCGTTCTTGCATAGTTTTAAAATTAATGGGGTGTAATATATAGGTTAATACATTAGAAAGAGAAACAAAATACGAACAGACGAATGTTTCAATTGACTGATTGTCAAATTGGATCAAAGACGAGGTATGGAGTAGGAAGAAGATGGGAATAAAAGTCAAAGAAAATGAAAATTATAAATAAAGAAGAGTAATAGGAATATTATTACAAAGAGACATAATACGCCACTAGGCTGTAGTTAGAAAATGAAATATTTTAAAAGTTTGTTGTCTAACTATCAAACTTTTTATGTTAAACGCATAGAAAATACAAAAGTTTTGCAAATAGATCGTTATACCGTCACTACAGTGGGAATGTGACCACGCAAGTGTCACATAATTTATCGTTATTTTTATGTATCTTTGTTTACGATTGTAACACACGCGGCTCGTGTGAAACAACAACTGCTTAGTTAGTAATTGTAACTCTAAATGACAAAAAATAACAAAAATCTCATTATTTATTCGTGCGATAATTGAGAATTGATTGTATTGCTAAATCGTGAAGTCAATGCAATATAAATGGATGTGAATATAAAATACTCTACCAATTAGTATTCGTAGAACATCAGAAAATAGATGAAAACATTAGTTAATTTGTGGAACGAGTCCCGCGAGACCGACCACGACGCGACTTCCTCTCCTAACCGAAAACACGTGAGGTATTAAGTAGGAACTGTTTTTTGCATAGAACTTCAATTAAGCGGTTCCGCCCTCCCGTTAGCGCTCGAGTAATTAGGGCTGCAGTGGCGCCCCCGGGGTCGTCCACATACCGCGCGTGTTTCATCTCCCACAACGACGTGCTGCCCTGGTAATTATCTAAAACGCGGCTCACCAATTTAGCCAGATTTATTGTTTGTTTACTTACATTATCACTTAGTCATTTTATCGCGTTATAGACATTGATAGAAGTTGACAATAAAAATTAATCCGACTATCGGAAACAGAGGTTAGTGATGGGGAACGTACATTTACGATATCGATAAGATAACAATAGATCCTCAGCGGGAGGTTATCGTGAACGGATCTGGCGCCTAAATTCCTGTGTGCAACCTACACCGGCGCGCGGATATTAAGGCTCTCTTGACATGACGATAACGAGCCAATGTAACGATACATAATGGAGTGGATACATTTTCTCATACTACACTACTATTTACCTAGCTATGAGTGATTTGAAATGTTAAAGGAATAAATGGTTTGTAAATAATAAAAAAATGTTTAAAATGAGGCATAGGTAGGAAAGTACTTTAGATTTTATATACGTAATTATATTAAAATTATGATGAAGAAAGATACTGTCTATAGTTTACGCGAGTAGTACACATTTAAATAAAAAACTTTAACGGTTTAAAACGCGATATATTAGTTAAACTTATTTAAAAATGATTTTTAACATCGCGTTTTAAACCGTTAAAGTGTTTTATTTAAATGAAGAAAGATATTTCTACACGACGTTTAACAAACCATCTCTATGGAAGTGGACACATGACTGAGAAAGCACAGAAATTCTAAATGACTTAATATTATTTTTTATTCTTATATCACCAAAAAGTATCATGGCGCATTCGTAAAACAAACATAACAAATCATTCAATTGTTATCGATGTTTGAAATCAAATATTGAAAATAATGCAGAAACGACAGGTAGGATCGAACACCAGCCCTGCGACATAAAAACAAAAGGAAACTTCCTACAATTCGGCTTCGCTGGATATTCAACCTAATTGTCCGGGAATAGATGCCAAATGGACGGACGCAAGACAACCATAAATCTTAGGTCATGATGACACGTGTCAAGTAGACCGGGAGCTGTCAGAGTGACGTAATGTGTTTATTTATGACGGGTTGGGAGAGCGGTCTGCGCAGGCGCTCTTGTTGACGTGGGAACATCCCGTCTTTGTGGATCCTAGGATACCATTGGGATTTAACTTTACGTACTCTACCAATAAACAAAAACAAATTGAACAAGATTTTTAAGTACGTATTTTCTAAGATTTTTCATTGTCTGTGAGATGAAAATGTTATTGATACTTGCAGTTTTGTTGCGCTACACTGTTAACAAAACTTGTCTTAATTAAATGTGAACTTTACTTTTTTACTCTTAGCTTTTTTTATGACTCATGACTAACCTTATTTGAATTTTCCTCGTCAATAAAGGTCAACACATTAAAGTCGTTTCTTAAACAAGTACAAAGACAAAGTAAACCCTAATAAATTAAAAACGTTTTATAGATGCACAAGGGAATAGTTGGAATTCCTCTATGTCTTCCGTCTCTTTCTCGCCGACCATAAACACGACACGCTTAATTAAAACCGTACATTAGCATAAACAAATAAAATGCCCCATTACGAATTCAATTTACAATCTTTGAAATCGTTTGAATTAGTCGCAGTAAATAATACTTCGGATACAGATCGTATAATACTTGACTGCAGTTAAACAAAGAGGTGCAGCGATTTTATTGAGAGTCGTATTAAAGGCAACGCTACAAGGGACAAGAGATTTACCAAATCGACTCTATTATTTATTTTTAACAAAGCAATAAACAAATAATGCAACTAGGCGACAAGTAGGTACATAATACTTTTTCTACAATAACAATAATGTATAAGAAATACAATTTATTTAGATTATCGCTGTCTCCTATAAATTAAGCCCGATAAACGAAATCTTAAACACGAGAGCAATGAATTCATTATACTTGACAGATGAGCAAACATTGCCCTCAGCTACACTTTTCTAATTTCACATTATAAATATTCGCAAGGTATTTTAATTTCGTTGAGAGTTTATTTGTAGGTATTCACAAACGTTTTTCATATTATATTAATAATTTAAGTAGCCCAGGTTCAGTTCTTTATCATTTTCTTATTAATTAGATGGCATAACTAGTTGAGGAGGTGATTTTCAGCGTAAAGAAATTCTACGTTTTTTTATTTATCTAGCTTTATCGCGGTGGCATTGCGCGGACGCAACGGGGTGCCATTGTAACCCTGTCCGAGACTGAGACCTTAAGCCACACACCGCTGACACCTAGAGCTTCCCCTTTTCATCGATACACAATATTTTTCAAGAACGCATGTCGCTTTTGTATTCTATCATCAAGAGTTTAACGTATGTATTCTAATTATATCTTACTGTAGTGCAATTCACAAGTAAATAAAGGTGTTTCCAGTTGTAAATTTTTTCTCTATAATTACAAAGATAATAATGTAAAAAAATATTATCGATATCGATAAAGTAGTGCTCATCCCTGCTGTGGCGCCACGTGGGCCAGTGCGCCGCGGGGCTTCATTGTTCGTCCTTTTGAACTGCCTTATATTCAGTTACCGGCTATATTACACGCCTATACACTATATCGAAATTATGGTTTATCGTTTACAAACATCGCTATAACCATTCTTATACATTCAAATCTAGACTTTATTTCGAAATCTGAAGGGCTAAGTTGGATTGCTTTACGAAGAACGTTTTACGTGAATACAATTTAGTTCTGCTAAGGACGCGGTTCTCATTTTACTACTCTTGAACAAACACCGATAAATTTTTAAACAAAGATCCGTGTCACGCCTTATTTGAAATCAGTTTTGTCAAACCACCGTGTTTCTTTCATACATAATTTATATCGTAACGTTCCTAGTTAAAAAAGTTAATTTATCTATCAATAAAATAGACGATTTATGGTATGAATTTATTAATAACTTGTTAAATAAATGTTCGATGATTATTACTAGCCGTTTAGAATAGAACAATTTAACGACAAGTTTATAACAGGACTTAATTCGTAAATGTCTACCCACGTAGTAATGCCTTCAAAATCTCGCATTTAGTTTACTAATTAAATCTTACAAATAAATTTGTGCTCTTAATAAATAAATTATCATAATTTCATAAAAATCCTCCAACTTATAGATATATATTTTTAGTACACGTGGCGTTTGGGACGATTAGAAGAATGTTATTTAATATTTGAACACTTACCTCAGGGTCGATCTTCTTGAAATCCGGATCTTCTTCGTCGACTTCGAAGTAGAGTTCCGTTGATGTGAGCGAAAGAGTACCGCCAGCCACGATCCCACCAGACACAAGTTTCGCCTTCGTACTCATATTCACGGGACCTGTACAAAATCATTGTTTAAAATAGGCCAAGTGTCTGTCTACGTCGGATTTCTATAATGATTCCAAACAGAGTGGCGACGTCCGTCATACTTTTCAATTTCTTAATATAAATTTTAAGTTATTACAAATGGGCAGGAAATATCACCGTGCAACTACCTACAACAACTGTTGTCAAATATGTACATTGACATTTGCAGAATGGTCGCAATATTGGGATAACAAGCGCCACAAAAAAAACTTTAAGTTATAAAATTATTTCTATTTAGCTCAGTACTGACCAGTTAAGTCTTGTTCGGCATCGCGTTCGTCAATGAGGAGCTCTGCATCATCGAGCAGTTCTTGAGCGGGCGCTGCTGCAAGCTGAGCGCCTCCGGACACACCAGCGATTCTTGCGTGTAATTCTTCTGTCGCCTTCAAGAACATGTGCCATTTGAATATTAACTCTTACTTCAAATTAAAGTCAAACAGTTAAACATGTTGCTTCCTTCGTGGTAGATTATTTACCTGAAGAATGGCATCTGTAGGTGGATGCGGTGTGGCATGGTGAGCAGTGTGCGCGTCATGCCTGCGGCCTCGTGGATCTGGCACCAGGCGGCGTCGCCGTCGCGCGTCATCTTCCCACGAGTCGAGTTTCCAGAATTCACACTCAACTAAATCCGAGCCCACACTGGAATTGTTGTTAAATTTGTCGTTACTAAGTGTCTACACAAAGAATTTATAATAAATATTAAATAATATAACACATAATTTACTCAAACTGATGGCATTTGTAGCCGATTCAAAAAAAAATATTACTATAATCGCCTTCCGGAAACACGCAAATTATTTTAATATGTCCTCCGCTCGAATCGGCGATAAGTCAAAAGTAAATTCCCAGTGAAGGGTCAAACTGGTCGAAAACCCAAGACGAGTCAGGTCGTTGTCGATATTTTTCTAAAAAATGTGCTTATTATTTTACGTACTCGTTAATATATCACAAATAAAATAAAAAATCTCTTATGTATTGCACGTCAAGGCTTAACAAACTCCTAACAAATACCTTAAAACCGTCCGAATTGTGCCCCGGAGTTTTAAAACACTTTTAAAAATAACTGTTTCCATAAATTGCACACGCGCTCTTATGTGAAAGAATAGCACAGGTAGAAACAATCTCGCTTATAATTAGAGAGTAGATGAGGAACTAATGCGAAATGACTGGTCTTACCGATGCGCTTGAGCAGCGTGGTTAAGCTTGTCCAACATTCGCGCAGCCGCAACTGTGTCACGTCGTCTCGCAGCCGCTATTAAGCGCTCGCATGTTCTCTCTTCTTCTGCTCGTTCGCCACTCCACGTTCCACACAGACACTGATAAAGCACAAGCTACGATTTAGTTATATTTTATACAATATAGTTTGTAATTTTTATAATAATTGAAAATTTAACGGTCAGGAGCTAGGCCCAGCATTGATGTCGTAAAAAAGGCATAATTACAATAGTAACCATAGAACCTTTAAACTTAAAATGAAGCTCATAATTGCATTGCACCAAAGGCTTATGCATACGATCTTGATTGATCTTCTTGAATAATTGTGTCTAATAATATTTTCAACGACCACTATATTTTTATTATTTAAATAAACTTGAAAGGGATTACCTCAAAATCAGCATGTTTCAATACGTCGTCAGCTCTCATCCTGTTCAGTATGAACTCTGCCTCGTTGGCGACCCTTACGATGTGGTCTCGCATAGCGTGTGACAGGAGACGCCCCTCGTTGATCAATTCAATGAACGCTAGACCTGCATGCTTCTGCAGCGAATTCTGCCACTCTTGGGAGCACAGCAGCATCACTAATTCTACTACCGATGTACTGGATTTGAACGTTTGGAGACCTGAAATGACAATATAAAAAAATACAAATTAGGCGGTAGTTATGAAAATATGTGTGTGGGCAAATCGACAAAACTACCCACAAAAGTTCAAAGAATGTGCTCTGAATTTTTCGTAGGCATATTGTTTCTTTTTCTTTGGCCAACGTAAAAAAATTTATTTAATAAGTTTAATAAGAGACACTTACACAAGATACACTTTATTTCTATGTAAGTATCAAAGCTGGGGACAACCCTGTCTTGGTTTCATTAGATTAGGAATCAATAAATAATTTACATGCCATAACAAATTAACTGAGCGTGGAGATAAAATGTGTAATAGTCAAACCTTCCATCAACAGTTCCTGGCCATGGCTGCCTACGAGTGTCTTGGAGAGAAAAGGTGCAAAGTCCAGCATTATTTCACGGAGAAGCGGGCACACAGCACCCAAGGCTCGCTCTAGTTTGTGTGTCAGGGACGCTTCCCGGGATGCGCCTTCGACTACACCGGGACCTTCACCGTCACCCATCGCTTCTCCATCAGCACACACCGACATACTTGAAGCCGTCTCCGCTTCCTGTTACAAATATTTTTAAGTGTAGTCACGAATACTCTGTATTAAGCGTGGGGCTGACTCATTTTACCAATAGATTATAACTACTAGGTATCGGCTCAATCGTTCAGAAACGTGGGAAATATTTTAAATATAATTCAGGATTCTACCGAGACTACAAATAATCTCTTCAAATCGGTCACAGCTGCAGAGATAATTTTTTTTAACTTTCATCAGTTAAAACGATATTACAAAAATACTACGTATTAAATTTTGTTTCAAATCCATAAGAGTTGAAAAGAGTGGAAGCGAAATCGATTATGGATTTATCACCTGGTGCAAATGTCTTTGAGCAACTTGTAGACTTCTATTCTGCAACCTTTGCACGTGGTGCTCACTGCGTAGCTGAATTTGTTTCTCGATATCTGCAAAGTATCACAGGAATGGACCAATTGAGAACATGTTTTTTATTATTAGTTCTACAGTTGTTTGCAAAAAATTTCCTCCTTACTGTTAGTGGGTTAGTAATAAAAGAACGTAAATTGAAATTCTTTGGAAGATTGTAAATATATATTATGACATTACTGTTCGTACCTTCGTGGTCTCGTGCTCGTGTTATGGTAGCGGGTCCTCTTTCCGCGTCTTCGTTTAAATTTACATCTGTCCACGACTCGTCATTACTGACCTGAAATTATTAATAATCATTCAAGAAAAGTAAAAATTTCACATTATTATTTCAATTTAGTTATACATGTACTACAAGTTAGTGATAGAGCTATTTACCTAAATATTTTTGCTAGTCGCCCTGAATTATAAACATGGACATATCATTTAAATAAAACACTTTAACGGTTTAAAACCGATATATTATTACTTATTTAAAATATTTTTATTCGCGACTTTCGGATGCTTTGCAGCAGCCGTGGTCACGGGGAGACTAAAGATGGAGGATGTCTCAGGACGTCAAAGTAAAGAATTGCTACGCGCTAGCGCCATCTGTTCCGTCGAAGTTGGTATTTGGCGAAACTGGCCGCGGGTCCTTACAGAATTGACTAACGGTGTCTTCGCGTTTGTGGTATGCTGTTTATTGGGATCCAGATAGATGGACAATCAACATTCTCATGGAAAAAGATACACATTTCCTTATAAATAATGTTTCACTCTACTTTGTAGCAGTACTTACAGGTAATTTGTTGTCGTCTAAGGCAATCTCGCTAGATGTCTCTGGGTCGTTATTCGTTGTTTCTGTTGAATTCAAATGGAAAGATCCAGCGTCCTCGATTGAATCCACGCTCTGTAGAAAAATTAATAGTTTATTGTCCGCAATTATTTGTACTTCTACAGGAGGTACTTCAGTGTAGTATATATATCATTTTAGGAAATAATATAGTAATAACCGTTTGTATATTATTATTAACATTCATATAGAAAATAGAAAAAGTATAGGGAGTGAACATGCAAACAAGTCAAAAGGTGGTGGTGAAAACAAGCAAAGCGACAAAACAAAATATGCTACCATGCCATACGTATTGTAAACTGTAAAAGTCGTATTAGTTCTTCAAACTTATGTGATTACTTATCAAAAGTACACAACTTTTTATTTTATTTCGCTAATTACTTTAATACGGAGCCTTTTAAAAAGTAGTCACGAAATAAAAAAATAATAAGTACATTTTCCTTTTCAGTGATATTGAAATATCTGTCGTTTTATACCAATTATGAAAAGATATTCTTCGCTATTGTTGTCCTGTGTTGAGTAAACTTACAGGATACCTACAGGATATTTAGATAAGCAACGTTATATATAGGGTGTTGTGTAAGTGAGCGTATGTGGCAGCCGTTAACACTAATACTCTTGTCGTTAAGAAATGAACAGTGTAGCGTTAGCTCTTACTTAACAAACGTGAATCGATTACATTGTCAAAATTATAGCTCAAATATTGGGTAAGCCTGTGACTGTGTTCCGATTAGATCTGGAGTACAAGGCTTCCAGAACCAATAAAGTGTTGCACCACATGTGTTACGTAATTCTACAAACCAGGTTCACCACGGACACCGTGATTCCCGATAACGTTTTGGATCTGGAGCTCGGAGGCTTAACAGGAGAATATTAGTTAAGTTATTACAAGAAGTTAAGGGCACAGTTAACGTCAAATAAGAATATGAAAACGATCAGTTACAATTTGGTTAATCAACAACCTGCAGACATATATGATAAGACTAAAGAAATAAGGGTCACCATAAAGCGAACCGTAAGCTCTTTGAATCATAGAAAGGTCAAGAAGGACGATAAAGAAGTAAAAACTAATAGATGACGTAGAAGGTGTCCGTAGTAGTTTCCTATCAGACTCACCTTTGGCTTCGGCATCGACCTCAGACGCAGGCTCGATTTGAACAGCGGTTCTTCTTTCTCTAAGCTGGGCGTGACTTCTAAAATGTTCTTTTCGCTCGTATTAGGCTTCACTTCGTCCGTGCTGGTCTCAATTTTCGCGACGCTTTCCTCCCCTTCCTTCATATACAAATGCGACAGCAAAATAACAACGGATGTAAGAAGCGTCAACAACGACCACAAACACGTCTACACACTTCAGCACAACGACCATCGATGGCAATGTCAACAGCGAACCAAACTAATAAGTATGAAAGACGCGCGACAGACGCCGCGTCGCTTCTCTACCTACCATGCGATCTTCTAGAAACTAGTCTAAGGCGTCGACAATGTCTCTCAACTAAATGGATTAAAATTCTGGAAGCATGCTTCTATTATTTAGTAACGAATTAGTAAGAATCAAAAGGTCCAATGTAATTGACTTCTTTCTCTCAAATCTAATATAGAAGTTTAAAAGTGGGGCAAATATCAATACTAACTATATTAAAATGATAAATTACTAAATACTAATCGTATACCAGTAAATGCTTCCCATGCTAGGGTTGTTTAAAATTTTTTGAGCTAAGGAGTTAAATACACAACATAACGTACCTTCATAGACGGCGAGTCAAGCTCGTTGATGGTAGAGTTATTCTCGTCGACTACAATCATCGCGTATTCCACATCTTCTCCGTTGTGATCTAGGAAACGAAGCTTAAATTATTCACCAGCCAGACGTATCAGTGAGTCACACGACATCGAGAAGCAGTACAGCAAAAAGTAATTTCCAATTAAATTTAAACATTCCAAGTCTGTATGCCTTTACTATGTTGCAAAATAAACAAAAAAGCTGAAAACATTATTCTTGCTACACTAAAAAATAATAATTCGTTTTACGCTTTTTTTTATAAAAAAACGTTGCTATATACATAATACAGTGATGTAACAACTACATGACATTAATGATCTTATACTAAATTCGTAATGATAATGCAAATAATAAGAAACACAACAAAATGTAGCAATGCCCAAGCGGAGTCTTAAGTTTATTTTGTCTCTCAACATAATCAGAGTAGAACGGCAAGAGAACAACGATTACAAAATGTTTGTAGAGGCAAAATAAAGTTTGCAAACATCGACCACATATAAAATTTGAAGAGCGTTCGCATCACAAAAGATAGCCATCACTAATTTCTGAAAACACGAAAGAGATTTGTATAGCTAAGCATAAGCGTATTCAGAGCTTACTCTTTAGTGTTTAATAACACGAATACAAATTTAACCTTTGCTGAAAATCGATACATCATCTCCTACAACGAAACAAAGATCGCGTAACAGATGCGAACGCGTTGTCGTTGGCCGCACGTTTACCTGCGTGCGCGCGGTGGTAATTAGCGATGCGAGCGTGCGCGTGCGTGTTATTATTTAAATGCTGGGCGCAGTCCAGCTTGCAGGCGCCGTGCCGTGCTGGATGCCCACCGGGCAGGAACTGGGGGTAAACGTGGTGCGACCACTGCGGAAATAGTGGCCTCGAACCGCCTGCTGTATGCGACACCGCAGCGGGCAGGAATAATCGAGGGGATCCGGACAAAATTCGAGAGTGTATTTCGATGAGAGCAAGGTAGGAACCACATTAGACGAGGTGCCGTAATGAAAAATGTTAGGTTAAAATTAGGATAGTAGGGAAATATAATAGGAATTTATTAAGGAAGAAAAACGGTCGTGGAAGTAATGTATATTATGTAATGAGATGTATAGGTGCATTGCATCGATGTGTTAGCATCGTAGCGAGTGTGAAAGAATCGTAGTTGTTACCAGTGTCCCAACGTGACGCGATATCAAGCGGCGTGTAAAAGAGGAAACATGATATGTCAGATATACGACTCCATACATTAACGACCGCGAGACAAAAATACAAACGAAAGAAATATCGTATTGGGCCAGAATGCGTTCTTGTCTCTTCCAAAATATAATATACATATTTCTTTCGTCTGAGCCGTACGTAACTTCGCAGTTCATAAGACTTATACCCCACCTAAAATACAATAAGAGGTATAATAAATTATGAAAGTGCAAGAAGCATGAAAAAGAAGCAAAATAATGATACTATATGAAAATGAAGAATGGTTGTAGGATATCAGAATTATGAGATTTCCTGTGAACTCGCTATTTACAATGAAAGGAACACTCGTTAAGTAATTTAAAATAATAACCATAACTGCTGTAAACAGAACTGAAGAGTATTTTCGTATATGGTAGCAAAGTTTTAAATATAATGATCTGAGCAAATACTAAATTAGAAGAGATTAAGTAATTCAGGTTATATATATATTATAGTGCAGTTGGCGTGGGCGTGTTTGTGCGATGACTCAGTACCGTGGTGGTCATGTGCGTGGTGAAGCCTACGCGCGCAGTCCGTGTTAGCGTGAGCGTGCGCAGGCGGTTCCAGAATATCCCGGTACTTCGACACCATCAGCACTGATATAAAATACACGATTGCCAGTGATAGGAACTGAGCTTGTTTTGTCTCCTCCTGAAAGTGATATAAAGATTTATAAAATAGAAACGTAGGTGTTTATATATTAGAAGAAATAATCACACTTATTTGAAACAACTTATTTGTCAGTGTTAGCAGTTGGTAAGTGAATTGAATTTGAAGTACTAACCACGTCTCTATAAATAACAGCACGCAGGCGATTCACATCCATATCTTGTAAAAGCCTTTCGGGGTCCTTTACAGGACTGGAAACTTCCGCCAAGCTTGCAACCACACTCTGTAAAACAAACAGAGTTTTGTTATTAAATTTAGATGTTTACAATTTTTGCTTATGTGATTTTTAGCCCTATCCACGTAGCTGAGGACGAAGATGGAGCTACAGCACATGGTGGACGGATATAAAGTGCGACCTTGTTAAATTTAGCTTAAAGCAAGAGGCTTTAAGCATAGGGTGCTCTCTCATATATATGCATATAATATATGAGTTTCTAGTTATAAATAAATAAATAATCCATTTATTATCACAATGTACATAATTTACAACTTAAATAAGTAATAAAAAAGAAGCCTTACAATTAAAAGAATACAAAAAAAAAAGTACAATTTTAACTTTGTGCTAAAAGGCATCAAAACTCAGCATGTGCTCAGCAAGGTTTGCTAAGCCTATATAGTTATAAGGTTCTTTTTATTAGCTATTAAATTTAATTTTAAGGTAATATAGAATCCATTTACTAGGAGAGCATAGAAAGGGAATGCTTACCTTGGGCGAGGGCGATTCAGAACTCCGTGCGGGGCGCGAGGCGCAGCGCTGTCGCTCCTTGCACTCGAGGCAGTTGCGGACGGCGCACGTGCAAACCTGCCACACGCTACTGCTACTCAACACTATCCACTACACTACGAAACTAGGCTATTCCATTTCTACTCGACGCTATTAAAATCTCACGCATAATCTAGGTCTTAACAACAAATGAAGAATGTTATAAGGCTATAGATGTTTTCAAATTTAATTTTATTACGTTCAAAAATATAAAAATGCACTTTGAAACGTCTTGAGGCCGATATAAGATTATTTAAGTGAGGTAATTAAGATCGAATTCAAACCTAATCGTCATAGATAAACTGATAGACGGTATTTTTAACAATACTTCACTATTTTCGTCTCACTTGAATCTTAATCAGTCACTAACTACATATAGTTATAACCGCTGCATTTCAAATTATACATATTATATGTACTCTGATATTTGTAATGAAAAACACCAAAACTACTTTTTAACCAATCGTTACAAAGAAAATCTATATACTCTCGTAACTAGTTAAGTCAAATGAGCTTATATACTACGTCAAGAAAATTCAAGTCAAGTTCTATCAAACATTAAAAACAAAAGAGATGTAGAAGATAATGTTGTCACATAATATGTTTTCTATAGTACAAGAAGGTCTAAACAGCAACTTATTGTAAACCTTGTCGTTTAGGTCTTGATAAGCCCAATCAAGTACGATAGATATAGGTCAATAATATATTGATATTACCAGTCGTAGACACTGGCGAAGGATACCACCGCTGGACATGTTCTTTTCAGCTTCCAATTCGGCGAAATTGAGCGCACTGGCGAAGATTAGCACGTCGGCCATCGACACGAGCCGTTGAAGGAAAGTCACCGCCACTTCCACTGGCATTCCTTGCGTCGGCTCGATCACGTCTAATTCGTTCTGAAGACATATTAGCTTAATCAACTTATATTCTTTTAAGAGACATAAATACAACAGTTTTTAATGTAATAATGAATGTTTGTCTAAGAAAACTTAATAAATATTGATGAAGTGAAATATCCCAACATACTAGTTAAATTAAGTGGGACTATAAGACAAACAAAAACATAACAGTTTCCATTACAGTGTTAAAATTGGGTAAAGTAGTTAAGTTGAAAAGATTAAAGAAATTACATTGGGCGAGGTAGCAGAAGCCAGAAGTGGAAGTAGACCTCCGCATGCGATAATAAGGTTGTCAGCGAGTTGGCTAATCAGGTGCACCGTGTTCACCACGAAAATTGCATTCTCGCTGCTATTTACAAAGTCGATTACTGACTTGGTAGAGTGACTGCGCCAGACCTGAAAGAAATAAGAAGAACGTGTATAATTCTACAAACACGATGATTTATATATTTTACATATTTACTTGTTATAAGTAAAATAAATAACAAAGATTCTTTTAACATTTACTGAAAGTATTCAAATACATTACATACATTTTTTGCGTAACTAATACAATTTTAATAAATGTGTTTTGTATAAATTTTCTTTACCTGAATGTCAGTCTCCAGTGAAAATAGCACGTCGGAAAGAAGCCGCTGATGTATGTAAGACCAACGAAACTCTGGGATTCGGAACGGTGGCCTAGTGGGACCAGGTGAAAACATTGCGCGCGACGCTCGCGCCGACCGAGAACACTCTGCATACAATAATAACGACCATTTACATAGTACTGAAAAAGTTTTTTAATTAGTTATTCTAGTTTTGAAATATTATAGAAAAACACTTACCAAAGTGATTGGAGTCCACTTGAGTACTCGTCGAAGCGCTGCGGGGTCGCTTAGGCGACGTGGACGTGTTTGTTCCTTGTGAGGATATGCCCTCACCCCGGTGCGAGTCTTGTGTCATGTCGCTATTACCAGGTAAGCTTACGCGTCGCTTTTCTCGGTCGCTTTCAATACTCTTCTCTTCTTCTTGTAAATTTTCCTGTTCCTTTTTATTAGCTAAAGAAATGTTTTCGCTTATGGTCGATATAGAAGGTACTTCTGTTTTTTGTTCTGCATCATCTGAATCAAACCGCAAACGATCATTTTTTTCATTTTCTTCATTTACATCGATATCGTTGACATCCTCTTTATCAAGTTTACTGGAAATATTAAATTCACTGTCTATGGTTACAGGGGTTTCTGTAGGTTTATTTAAATCCTGTGTTTCGGAAGCAACTGTATTATTTTCTTCACTTTTTGAAACAACAGTATCTACAATCTCAGAAACTAAATCACTAGCCATTAATTCAATATTATTTTTCTGATCAACAATATCTTCAATATCTTGCTCTAAATCTTCTCTTCCGTTGGGAGTGTTACCTTCGGAGTTGAGACCTCCAGATATGGCACCGGAATCGGTATCGTCGTCTGTTTTCAACCTTACAGTTTCTAGTGCAATTGTTAAAACATCATTAACAATGTTTATGGCAACATGTTTAGGATCATCTGTGGTTATTTCATCAGGTATACTAGTATCAGTCTTATCTTGTAATTTCTTTGGGCTCGTTGCTTCGCTTGGAGTAAGGTACAACTCCGACCTATCTGAGAGTTCTGATTCCCTTTCATTACCAGCGCTTAAGCCTTCTAATACTCTTTCGGGGCTTGCTGTTTCACTGGCGGATAAACTGGAAGGTAGACCTTCACTTCTGTCAGTATTATCTTCTTTAATCAAGTTCTCTCCGACGTCCCTCACTGGAATGTAATCGAGACTACCTTGTCTCGATAGTGGCTTATCAGTTACCGGTTCGCTTGTAACGATTCCAGATTCTGAGCTTTCCAATAGCTTATTTTCCAATATGGATTGAACTAAGTCGCTATTAGAATTGAGGGTTCTGTCTTCGGTTTGGTCATCGATGACATGTTCTAATTCTGTACGTTTATCACTATCACAACCTTCGTCGCAGGGCACTTCGGTACGAACATTTTTGGCAGGACTATGAACTTTACACACTTCACTATAAACTACTGTAGTCCGACTGTCATCGATACTTTCGTTTGACTTGTTACAATTGCACGATTCGATTTCTCGGAGGGATAAACCTTTGCCGATTTCAGTTTGGGCGGCATGATTGAGAACTTTTTGTTTGCGAATCGTATCCGGGGAGCTATCAACACTGTGATCAGTATCCGGTACGACGCGACTATTAAGGTGTTGCGGCTCAGTATGCCGGTCCCACCCCGATATGGTGGAAATGGGCCGCTGCTGCCGCTCAGCGGGATCTGTAATATTATCGGCGCGACGTTGTTCATAGTGCTCATACATTTGAGCAAATTGAAGTTTGAATTCCTCGTAGGATACCTGTAAAATGTTAAAGAACAGAATGAGTGTGGTAGTCTTATGACAGTATTTGCAATTATAATTAAAAATACAATTATTAAAAAAATATAGTTAAAAATAATGTATTTCTTATTTACTATATTGTAAAATGTACCATAAAGTCATCACGTTCGAAAACGCCTTAGTCATATATTTTAACTAATATTCATTTTTACCTTAGAATGTACAATAGCCAAAGTGTCGACCCAAACTCTCCACCCGCCGTACTCATGCTTTATTGCGTGGTGCAGGAGCATCCTGAAGAGTGAGTACACCATGTCAGAAATTTTCTGTTCTTCTGTGCTCTTGGGGTGGATATAGGCTAGAGCTATTAGCCACTCTTGCCATACAGACATTTGAAGTACAGTGCGTCTGTTTTCTCTGTTGTTACTGCACAATAACGTCATGTCCGAGAGAAATAGTTTTTTCACTTCAAGAAGTTGTTCAGTTTGCTTCGATTGTCGAATGAGTGTGGCTACAACTTTGAGGATCACTGGAAAATTAAGAAGGTATTTCTTATACATATGTAAAGTGTGTAAATAACTAAAGTAAATAACTTTTATTTGCAAATTTTATATTAATATTATTTGGATTACGTGGCTCTAATATGAACTATTTAAATCATCTTTAGTTGTTTCCACTCACTTGGGTTCTCGAGGCGAAAATGTGGCTGAGGTTCGGGATGACTAGTATAAAGAATCTGCTGCCCGACGTGCTCCGTGAGTAGTTCATACAGTGCATTGTAAACGGGCAGCGAGAGCGCCTCGCCGCAAGCGCTGAGCCGAGTTGCCAACAGCGTGTACAGATTGTGAGGAGACATTACGTCATATTTGCGTCTGTTGACAGATTTAATTTCACATTGTTGACCTGTTGCGCATATAATTTATATTTTATAACCTTCAAGACCGAAAAAGTATGCAGGCTATAGACTAACAAAACTGTTTTTTTTAATCTTCCACAAGGTATTATGTCTGATTATTATAACTGTTATTGTAATCTTTCCAAGACGTTTTTAAAACCAAATGCCCGTTGATGATTTGAGTTCTGGATCCTTATTATGAAACTTACTTATGTGTACTTCTGCTTAAGAAGAAACCGAGTAATTTTAGTGCTTGTAGCCTTATTAATTGACTTTCCGACGAAAGGAGCTTGAAAATGGTTCGGACTCCACCCTGAAAGAAATACGCAAATTATTTTCACGGGAAAAGTTTTGCTGACATTATAAACATTAAAACTATCCTCTTTAACACTGACATTATAACATTATGACATCAAAACTATGTCGAGCGTGTTGACGATTGAATTATACCTTAGCATCGAAGGCAGGAACCATGGAGCTCGGGTGCTCTGACATCAAGGATATCAACATTTGCAGCACATCGTGGAGATTTTCGTCTTCATGCATAGTCGTGAGATAGTTCAGAATAGACTGAAGCTCATCCTCCTTCACGCCGTTTCCAATCATAATCAACTGCTTAAGAAACAGCAAGATGTAGGCTCGTATCGTGAGGATATCCTTATGAGCTGGTCGTGGACCGTCTGCAAGGATATACATAATTGTACTAATAATTAATTCAATTCTATACGTATATGTCTGTTGGGTTAAGTATGATAATATAAGTAGGTCGGATTAGGAAGAAATACGGTATGGTTATGTAGCTCATCAATGTGGGAAACCATTTAACTTTTTGCAATGGGGGGTAAAAATGAGTGTATTTCAGAGGGACCAATTATTTTTAGAACACTTAGGATAATTTTAGTAAGTATTTGAATAACTAACAAAGCTGCCGGATACAACAATAGTAGTATTATATTGTTATTCAAGTCATACCTATGCCTTTCGGCGTGATGCCACTTTTCGTCTTAGGGTTGACAACCCAATAGTAATATTTCAGCGTGTGTACTGTCTGCAGGACGGTGCTAACCCGTCTGACACTACCGTAGATATGCGCATCGGCAAGGAAGTCTGTCGCCAAGTAGCAGTAGAGGCGGGCTTGAACGGCGGCCGGCGTGTGGATCCACAGCGCCGGATTGAACAAGATGTGGTCCAGCAGCTGCCAGGTGAGGAAGGATTGGCAGAAAGACTGAATTAGCATAGACTTAACACTGCTCCATGGTTGTTAGCGTATGCACCCTTGCTTTGAGATTTGAATTTGACATTCGTTAGCGACACCAAAGACGAAAATTTTACAAAGCTTATAAAATGTAAATCTTTTTAAAGGTTTCACAAAAACTTTTTTAATGTTAACAATAAACAGAAAGTTACATTTAAAAGATCCTTTTAGCATTGACATGATTCCATAATATGGCAATGTTGATTTTTTGTTTAAATTGCCATAAAATTCATTTTTTTATTTATTTAAAGAAAGGAAATAAAATAAATAGAGACCTTTTGCGTGCATGAGTGTTCTAGTGTAGTAACCAAAGATAACATTGAGAATTTTGGTGGGCCATCGGTGAATAGTGGTACTTTGGTGTATGGAATATTTACTGCATAATACAAAGCATTTTTGTTCAGTGTCATTGCTTCGCCTTGTCGTGATCATGATATTATTATGATGTGATGATGGAGCATCGTATTTTACAGTATGACTGGAAAAGCAAGAGGGGCATGCGCTTACAACCATGTCGGATCATTAAATTAACTCAAGTGCTATTTTCCACATATATAAGGCACTCACCTCGGAAAAAAAATACTAAAAAAGAAACATGACAAGCATAGTTTACATTTAATCATAAGAGGAAATCATAGGAGTGTATGAAAGCTAAAAAATACTGTTCAAAGAAAAGGTTTTAAAATTTTTAGCACAGCGAAAACAAAGATACCCTTTCTAAGTACACGAAATAAGTTGAAGCAGTGCCTATGTTTGTTGTGTTTGTGCCCTTCGACTATAATTACCAATTTTCCGAATGCTTATGGAACCCTGATTCCATTTGTCCTCGCCATGTATTAAAGTATTATAGACTTACCGTACAGAATATCGATAAACAATAATACTTAAGTGTAAACTATATAATAAACTAGACTAGAGAAAAAAACAAAAAATAATAATTAGTCTGCTATAAATTCAATAGCATTTTAGTTATTAAAAAACATAACATCGAGTTGCAATAAATCGCTAACATTTAACATTAATCACTAAATCTATAAACATACCTGTTTCAGTAACAGATCGGAGTTAGGAGAACAGCAGGTTACGAGGTGTTTCGTGAGATGTAAGAAGGAAGCGAGAGTGTCGGGCGTGAGGTGTTCTCGCGCGCACCGCTGCAGCATGTGCGAAATGACTAGAAACCCGCGACACTGCAGCATATGTTGCTGCACCGTGCTGCATGACTCAACCAAGGAACAGACGAATCCGAGGAGTTTCGAGCTGAGGAAAAATTAAAAGTCATAAGAATTATTAACAAAGATATTTGTGTCAAGATTTTTTAATAGTTTTAAATTGAATAATCATTTATTATATTATTACAATCACACTGCGATCTAATATTATGATAGTTTATAATGTAAGAGAGTGTTAAAAAATACATTCAAAGGTTATGCTTTGAAATCCGTATAAGTTTGTTGTATATAGTAGAGATATGTTTGATTACAAGACATCGCTTTATAGAAACGCTACAACCCGGTTATAAAACATTTTCGGTACCCTTGCTAGGCGACTGACGAACGAAAGTCGAATCGGTTAGTGACATAATTAGATTAGTAAACAATATATATATCCCTCGATAGTAGGAATTAATCAACAGTAATAATTAGTGATGAGAGCTAACAGGATCGCATGACACTCGAGGAGGTATTGTGTGCGAGTGGATCACTGTAATCGATGAGGATTACCTGTCCAATTTACTGTGCCTCACTAACGAACGCTATTGCCGGTACAACCTATATACGTGCCACAAGCTACAGCTTACACCCCATTGCCTGCTGGAATCGATTGCTATCGCCGGGAATTTAATATCATAATTAGCTTGGATTGGGTTGCTTATAATTTAGCATTAATACATAAACGGCACAAATTAAAGTAACTTCATATGTGTTTTATGACTACAAGTACAATTATAGTCTAAAAGAGTTCTAGCAGCTAAGGGTCTCAACAGCAAAATTTTCTAGTTGACTCGATATACCTAAAACTAAAATCCACTTATGGGCCATCACTAAAGAGAAGAATGTCACTGACACCGGTAAATTTTAAATGTTTACTTAAACGAGCCGTCAAAACTATCCGTACGAGGAGCGGGCAATTAGGAGTTGGCAGAAGTTAGTCGTAAGCCGAGCAGCCCGATATGCCACGCTAACTCCAGTGATTAGAGATCGACATCGAAAGTGCATTTCGCCGGGCAACTTCGGAGCTACTTGGAATATTAATGAATAGACCAAACGCTCATATCTGCCTTCAAACTTCGATTTAGTTCGGGAGTTTTAGCGTTCCATTGTGCATGGTTGTTGCAGTTTCAACTATTATAGTATTATTTACACATCGCAGTGGAGGTAGCCAATAGAATAATAAGAAACATACCACAACATTGGATCTCGTTTCGGATCATTCGCAGGAGCATCGTGAGGCAGATCTAGCTGCGCGAACAGAGGAAATAAGACTTGAACACCGCCGATAGAATTGAGAGCGCTGTGAATCGAATGCGTCACGACGGCTTTTACTTCCTGAAATGTAAGAATAACCGTCTACAGTCTATTCAATTAATCGGACTTATTGCAGTTCCCGTGAATTTATTTAAAACTACCCGCAAGAATCGGTAGATTTTTTGTTTACTTGTACATGAATACGAAAATTATATAAAATGAAAGACTCAAAAAAATACGTTTAAAATTATTTAATTATTGATTTACCTGTAGCATCAATGCATGCGGCGTATGCACAAAGTACGAGACATTGCCTTTAGGAGCCGACTGTAAGCAAAGTTGGCCGTCCGTCGCAACAGGGTTGTACATAAACACTATGGCGGATGACAGTTTGCCGTCATATAGCACCTGAGAAGGATTTAAGTTAAATGTTAGTTTCCCTCATGGTGTTATTCAGATTTATAATCGAAGCAAAATATTAAAGTTTGTGTAATTTGTTAAAAATTTAAAAGCATTGTATAGAAAAATTAAAAACCAAAATTATATTTAGTCAGTCATGCAACTATAATAATTTAAATAATTGTATATTTGATTATTTATAATATTATTACATATAAATACGCAAAATTCCAACACCAGACACACAGAAATTAAACCTCTATTAGATTAAAATTATTTGGGTCTTCGAGATGTTCAGCTGTCGTGATTGAGAAACGGTTACGATATGACGAGAGGATGACTTCAGAAGACGTTGCACGTTCTCGAAAACCCTAATAGCTTTGCATAAGGGCCGTGAAAGCCTTATCAACATTACATATTCTTATACGTATGGCATGCAGATCTACATAAACCGACTTAATTCTGAACTTAAGACGTAGCGGGTATTTTGTATTTCGCTCAACACTTGCAATGAAAACTCATCTGACTCTCCGCGACATATGAAACTTTACATTGTGAGGCCACTTAAGGGAGAGACGGGTACACTTTGATGTACAGGCGAGCGGCGGAAGCTTACAACTTTCCCTCATGAAAGACACTAATGCAACTTGAAAAACTCGAGACGTGAGCCACGTCGACGAATGAGTTTTCTTGTGACTATGAAAAAATAACTGTCATCGTGTTTCGGCCGCAGGTGCGCAATACTTCTCCTGTTATGCAAAAAGTTTAATTTCACTTTTACACGAGAATTTTCAGGTAAAAAGTTAGGTAATGAGTTGTCGAGAAAGCGAAACAGGAAACATTTTAAAAGTTTTTCGTGAGTACAGATACAGTAAAGATATAGGAAGACAAAAATAGACCTTGACACATTTCTCTAAAAGAAATACAACGCCCGTTACAATTCCGAACTGTCGGATGAGTTTGTTTTAAGCCCTCCGAGAGTATGCAGATAAAATGAAACACAGAAGTCCGTCAGTTAAAATCGGAACCGGGAAGCAATCTCATTACCGTCGGAGAATGAAATATAGACACACGAGTAGATGGCTACTAACTTGGAGCAGCAGTGATGGAATCTAAACCTCAAAAAAAGCTTCTTTCAAAAACGATTTTATAAAGTTGAACCTAGCGAATAAGTCGCAATTTCATCAATTTGATAATTTTCACCTGAAACCGTCAAGGTATTCATTAATATTTAATGGATTTTAATTAAAATGTCCCAAAGAAATATTGATAAGACGAGGGTCGGGAGCGCGAGGATCACATAGACGATAAGAGATGACTGGGGCCCGAATTCGTTAACGTAACTGCCCTAATTAATTTTTAAAATTCAATCAGGGGAAAGTTTTAATGGCGTCCGCGTCGGAAGGAACAGATGGACGGATGCCGTTTATTATTTGATGACTTAACGGAACCGCGTGAATGTTTTATCATCACTTGGTGAAATTAATGCACAAGAAAATTACACCGGAAAAGACCGGAAAGAGCGCTCCATAATGAAGCGGAGAACATTAAATCTTCTCTTCCGCGAGTCACGTATAAAAGATACGTGGGTGCCGGTACGTTGAATATTTAAAATGACACAGTTGTCTGAGTGAGTCTGTGAGAATATTAGAGCGTGGCTCAATCAGGCCTGACCGTGGGGAGACATTACCTCGGCGATGCTTGATGAAACAAGTCCCTAAGAACTTTGAGGCGAATGAAAGAGTAAAGTTTCTCATAGCTGAACTAGATAAGTAATTGGTTGCAATGCATAGGCAGATCTCCTCTCTACGGATACTGAAAATAGTGCTTTAAAACAAAAAAATGCTGTCTAATCTAATTTTTACTTAGAACAACATTATAAATGGTTACGTCGCTGTTTTTACCAGCGTTTTACTCTTCATACCCATGTTAAAGTACCGCAACTATATTTTTATCTGCAACAGAGTTTCTATTAGTTACTTTTAGAATTTGATTTCGACTAAACAAAACACAATTTTTCCTACTACTAACATAAGACAATATCTTTTTCGAAGTTAAAGATAAACAAAAACCCGAAGAAGGAAATTAAAATTTCGCTCTTAATGATATGATGTTCTGAAACGAAGCAATCTCGTTTGCAATTACGTAACAATGACGACAAAGCGGAAACGGAAGAGTGCAGCCTGCGGATGTCATTACATATTACCGATAACAGACGAGACCAAGCGTATTGTTGCATACATGAAATAAAATAAGATTTGTATATATATGGTTAATAAGAAAATAATCTCGCGTTTCATAATTAAAACGTTCATCCCTACAACATATAGGTTAGTAGTGATATGCAGTGGATTTCCCCATTTCGGGGAGTAATCCAATCACACCTCATGCACGGTCAGTGAACCAGCAACCCAGAGGCTTATTCAGCATTGAATGACACAGGAGCTTACGTCATGAATGTTCTGTGTGGGGTCGTGAATGATCTCGCCGAAACGATCGACGCGGACCTCGGAAGACGGCAGCGGAACCGGACACTCGGCGTCGAATCGGAACTGACCCTGACACAACCCACTAGCGGTGACAAACACGCACATAAAGTGTTAACAAACAAACACAATCTACTCTATGTGTACTCTATGTGTAAATTGCTTTGGATACATTTAAAACCAATGTGAAATAGTCACAAGCGATAGCAGTGTTATGGTATCCAGACGTTGTCAAAAACGTTGTTTTAAACTCTTAAGTATTTATTGTATCCAAGGCAAAGTGAATCTGGGCGCAAAGCCAAGCGAGACATAGACACACAGATGCAGCGGCTGCGCGGCATGCTTACACGCTTGCATGCTTCAATATCTACGAGCAGGGACGCATGCGCAGCGGCCACTTCGCGCGCCTGGTCCGCCAAGCGTCGCCCGCGCGGCGTAGCATCCTCTTTAACTACAACGCAAGCGCCTTCGCCGTCGGTGGTCACAGTCGCGTCTTCGGGTGTTTGGGAGACGGGATCTATGGGATCGGGGGTTTCCGGGAGGTCAGTGTCAAGCGCGGGAGCGGATTCGCTCACCCGTTTGTGATTCTCCGGTAAACTGATGTTGCATTCGTTGTCAAAACGGAATTGGCTCTGTCCAGATTAGGCGTAAAACAAACGTAAAGTCTGCGGTTAGTTTGGTCAAGATATTAGTAGAAATCATTAAAATTTGTCTTAATAAACAACCTCGGCAATCATCGATAGGCTTTTAAGCCTAATTTCTTACATAGAAAGTCAAACAGCTCTTTCGAATAGAAATTTATAGATAATATTTATGAACGGCAAACATAATTTTTTGCGCTGAAATTTTAGACTTTGATAACAATAATTTTACTATATTACCTTATATCCAGGTCCAAGCCTGTGCATAGCACATATTTGATGCGTGGTGAGAGCCTCTCCGAACAGGTAGATGGCGGCCATCTGTCCACAGAACACACGTTCCTCGTCTAATTCGGCTGTTGCGCCGATGTAACATTTGTCAAAAGGCTAAAACAAAATAAACCAAATTGTATTTATTTATTTATTTGGTTTCCATACAACATATATGTGTTTTACATACTTATAAATAATGCAGAACAATAATTTTTACATATACGTCAATTACACAGAAACACATTGCAAATACGGTTAAATAGGCACACAATTAAAACTATAATTCTAATTAATATATAACTATAATACTAATCACTACTAAAATAACAAACATAAAGATGTGAAATGAACAAACTAGAGACAGAACGTGAACTAAGACTAACCTAATGCCTGTCGCACTAGAACACGAAATCTGTACAGGCTGTTGTGAAATATGTCTATATCTATATCATTTTTAGATATTGTATTGTATGATCTAACCATTCTATTAATCGGGGAATTGGCAGAAGTCGCAAGGCGGGGCGTTGGAGAGTAAAAGAGGCAATTGTTTCTAGTAACCTTGAGCGCGCAGTGAAAAGAAAAATTTGAAAGTAGCTCAGTATGAGTTATGTAATTTAATATTTTGTACATGAATATCAAATCAATGTATTTTCTACGCCTTTCAAGAGAATCCAAATTGAAATATTTTAGACGACTATCATACGTGCGAAGAGAATTTCGCAGACGATAACGATTACATAACATTCTCAAGAAGCGTTTCTGGGTAGATTCAACTGCATCAATATGTACTTTATAAAAAAGGTGACCAAACTACAGTTATATTCGAGAATACTACGGGCCAAAGATTTGTATAAGACTATCACACTATTTACGTTATTAAATGTTTTTGTCGTTCGTAAAATAAATCCAAGTATTTGATTTGATTTTTTTACAACATGATCAATATGTTCAATAAAAGATAATTTACTATCAAAGATAACACCTAGGTCCCTTATAGAGGTCTTACGTGTTAGAGATATATCTGAGATTCTATATGAGTAATCAATTATATTTAAATTATTTGTAAAAGTAACTACATGACATTTATTAACGTTAAGTTTCATTAAATTACAACGGCACCAGGAATCAAGAATATAAAGATCATTTTGAAGAGTAATACAGTCGGAAATACTTCTAATTCTTCTGAATAATTTTAAGTCATCAGCGTAGAAAATATATTTGGTATTTAAATTGAAATTTAAGGGTGAGTCATTTATAAAGAGGGCAAACAATAAAGGCCCTAGGTGCGATCCCTGAGGGACCCCAGAGGGAACTAAAATTGCTTTAGAAAGACATCCATTAATAGCTACAATTTGCGAGCGATTTTTTAGGTAAGACGTTAACCAACGTAGTAAATTTCCATGAATACCGCAGGAAAGAAGCTTCTTCAGAAGTATGTCATGGTTGACTTTGTCAAATGCCTTCTGGAAGTCAGTATAGATGACATCTACCTGACCTCTATCATCAATGACATTAAATAGAACATTAATATATTCAGTTAAATTTGTTGTAGTAGATTTGTGCGATACAAAACCATGTTGAGCAGGAAGTAAAAACTGATTAATGTGAGTGTAAAGTTTTCCAAAAATAGCGCGTTCAAAAATTTTCGCAAAACAATTTAGAATACATATTGGCCTATAATTGCAGACGTTTGCTTTGTCACCAGATTTATGTATCGGTACAACATGCGCAGTTTTCCACAAGTCGGGAAAAATTCCTGACGTCAATGATTTGTTAAAGATTATTGTCAAAGGCTCGGCTAGGACGTCACTGCACGACCTCACAAAGTACGACGGGATGCCATCGGGACCAGCACCTTTATTAGGATTAATTCCTTTTAAAATCTTATATACTTCATCTACATCAATACACACACACGCACACTACCAAGGCAATTAAAGTGTTGGTCTGAATTATAATTAACGTTTGATGCAGAAGAATTACCAAACTCATATACAGTTTGAAAATAATCCGCAAACACTTGACAAATATCTTCTCCATCTGTGGCAGTGACGTCATTAAAATAAACAGAAGGTGGAATAGAGGAGTTTAAATTTTTGTTTTTAACAAAATTCCAAAATAATTTAGAATTGCCTTTCAACAGATTTGTTTCTATGCTATTGATATATTTACGGTAGCAATCTTTTATCATTTTTTTCGATCTTTTCCGTAAAAGAGAAAAAGTATCATAATCCCGGGGGTTTTTAAATTTTTTAAACTTTTCATGAAATTTATTCTTTTCGTTGAGGCACTTCTTTAACGAACTACTAAACCAAATAGGCATATTTGAACAAAACTTTCTTTTATATGGGGTATTAGCTTTAACTATGTTCATTAAGATTCTGTAAAATTCATTTAAATCCCGATTCACATCTGTTGAGGACAGATATACGTTCCAACTGGTACTCATAAGTTCATGTCTGCAATTATTAAAGTTACATTTTCTAAAATTAAAATTAAGAAGCCCATTATTCTTGCGACATTTCAGAAAAGGTCTTAAAGTGTCACCTAAACTGACCTCAAAGGCAGGATGATGCACGTCCTGTTTTGATAATGCATGCGACTGATTTAGGAACACCGAGATGTCACGAACAAATAATAGATCTAGTGTGCGATTATTTACATTCTGAAGGTAATTATATTGATAAAGGTTACAAATTGACATAAAATCCATTAACAATCGACTCTTAACATCCAAAGAGACGGACCTGGCCTCCACGGTCTTCATCGCGCCAACCCCAGTCAACAGCCAATCTATACACGGTGTGTTAAAGTCGCCCAATAGTAAAAAAGGGTCATCTGAGTTAGATAAGATATCCGCAGTTTGATCATAAAAGGCGCTTAATTTGTCAGTAGGCAAGTCTGGTGGAAGATACACAAGGCATAATTTAATGTTTTTGTTGAAGTATTTATTTTTAAATATACTAAAATTAAGCCATATACATTCCACGTCAGATTCCCATTTATGAATTCTTTCAACAATAAATTCTTTCTTAACTGCCACTAACACACCCCCCCCCTGAGACCTTGCGGCTTGTATTTCCGTCACGGTCCCGCCTAAAAATTCTGTAACGACTGTCTAAAAGTTCACTGTCCTTAACCGAAGGGTCCAGGTTCGTCTCAGTTAAGCAAATGATATCAAAATTGCTATTCAATACATTTACATTCAGACTATGAATTTTACTTTTAATTCTGTTCACGTTCTGGTAAAAAAGTTTTTTTTTTTTTTTAGTCTCTTTTCTATCTGCAATCAACCAAGTGGCTTTAATCAGATTTGATGAGTTATTTGATGCTTGGAGAGTGCACATCCTCTGATGTGTCATCTCATATTCCTTTCATTCTTCAGATTGAGGCTAGTCGTATTCTTTTCAGCCGATACATGTTGGCATCAGCATCCAGCAGTTTTGCAGCCAGATGATTTCTGTGGTGTCCAAGTCTCTGCCTGTAGGCCGCAGCAGTCCTTTCTATTTCTTCCTTGATCGTCGGGATTTCCAGATATTGATGGACTTCTGTATTTCTTATGAACCATGGTGCATTGCTCAGAGCTTTTAAAACCTTATTTTGGAAGCGTTGTAAAATTTCTATATTTGAGTGGCTTGCTGAGCCCCAGAGTTGTATGCCGTAGGTCCAAATTGGCTTCAATATAGATTTGTATATGACGAGCTTGTTTTCCAAACTTAGTGCTGAATTTCTTCCTAGCAGCCAGTACATGTCTCTATATTTTTTTTTCTGCCTGTTTCTTTTTGGCCTTTATGTGATCTCGCCAGGTTAGTCTTCTGTCTAGGTGCATGCCCAAGTATTTAGCTGTTGTATGATGTGTCAGAGTAGCTCCATCAAGTGTCACGGATGTGCAGTCCCCTCTGTTTAAGGTGAATGTTACATGAAGTGACTTAGCTGGGCTTGCCCGGATTCTCCACTTTTTCAGCCATAGTCCGATTTTATCTAGGCATTCCTGAAGTTTTGCGGAAGCCACTTTTGGGTCTCTGTTACAGGAGAGAACTGCAGTGTCATCGGCATAAGTTGCTGTCACCACTGCTTCTGAGATTGGTAGGTCGGCGGTGAACACCGTATACAAAACCGGCCCCAGCACAGAGCCTTGAGGCACGCCCGCTTTTATTTCGTAAATGGGTGACAGACAGTCTTCGCATTTAACTTGGAATGTTCTGTTTTGCAGATATGACCTCAGGAGCATGTATGCAGTATTTGGAAGGTGTTGTTTTAACTTGCACAAGAGGCCCTTATGCCACACCCGGTCAAAGGCCTGCTGTATGTCAAGGAACACAGCCGAACAGTATTCCTTCCTCTCCATCGCTTGCCGTATTGTATGAGCCACTCGATGTATCTGTTCCGTCGTTCCGTGATGTGAACGAAAGCCGAACTGGTGATCTGGTATAACGTTTTGTTCTTCAAGGACTGGGAGAAGGCGCTTTAGGACTAGCTTTTCGCAGACTTTAGATAGTAATGGCAGAAGACTTATGGGCCTGTATGATGTAACCTCTGTTGAGGGCTTTCCCGGTTTGGCAACCATGTTCACAACAGACACCTTCCATAACCTTGGAAAATATTGTAGCCTCAATATTGCATTGAAGAGGATAGTCAGTAGTACAATGCCTTTTTTTAGGTAGATTTTTCAGAACTTCTGCCGTTATGAGATCAAATCCTGGTGCCTTTTTAGGTTTTAAATTGTTTATAGTTATCTTGACTTCGGCCGGTGTAACCGGTCTTAGTGGCATAGACAATTGTTGGTCTCTATTCAGGATTTCGTCAATTTCTTCCTCTGTGTGATGAATATCAGGCTCATTCGGTTTGAACGTGTCTTTTAGGAAGTCGGCGAATAACTGAGCTTTATCCTTAGGTTTTCGTGACCAGTTGCCAGTAGCTTCTCTTAGAGGAGGCATGTGTTCTTTTGGTCTTTTTAACGCTTTAGTCATTTTCCACAGCGAATAGTTGTCTGCTTTGTATGGAGACAATGATTTTAATTTGTCTTGCAAGGTACTATTCTCATTTTCTCTCAGCTTTTCTTTTAAAACCTTTTGAGCTCTGTTGAGTGCTTTTTTGTCTTGTCTATTCCTATAGGACTGCCAGCTACGTCTTAGTCTTCTCTTCACAGCTATCAGCTCTTTTATTTCGAGGCAAATATCGTTTTTTTGTATTTTAGAGTTCAAGTAAGGTGTTGATAGCCATGCTGCTTTTTGTATTATATTGGTGGTATACTGCGTAGTATCTTCTATATCCTCCTCTGATTTGAGTCGTATGCATAAGTTAACATTTTCCTCTATATAATCTCGAAAAGCCTCCCAATCTGTTTTTTGATTGTATAGGGTCTGACGTGGTTCTTTCCAGATCACAGTCGAACTTAGGGCACATATCAAAGGTGTGTGGTCTGAGGAGCCATCAAGACATGATTCCACTTTTGTGTATAGTCCCGAGATTCCTTTAGTAATAAAGAAATCAATGACATCCGGAAGTCTGTCACGATCTGTAGGCCAGTGTGTTGGTTCCCCTGTAGATATTACGTTAAGATTGTATCTATCAATAGTCTTTTTTAACTCCCGACCCCTTGTTGTAGTTAGCCGAGAGCCCCAGAATGTATTTTTTGAGTTCCAATCACCGCCTGTCATGTATCTGTTTCCTAGTGTGTCAAAGAAGTCACTAAACATTTGCTCACTTATTCGATGTCGCGGGGGACAGTAAACTGAAGCCACATTTAGCGAGCCATGCCGGTCATCTATTGATATTATAGCCGCTTGTAAGTGTGCTTGTCTAAAGTTTGGTAAGACGTGGTGTCGAATGTTTTCCCTAACTATGACAGCAGACCCAGCATGTGATGTCCCATCTGGATGGTTCGCATAGTATATGTTGTATCCTTTTATTTTAATTACATTTTGGTCTTTCATGTGTGTTTCAGTGACTAATAGGATATCTATTTTGTGGAGGATTATAAATACTTCAATTTCTTGCTTATTAGAGGCTAGGCCACTTACGTTCCATGTTGCCACACGCAAGAATTTATTTTTTTCTGCTGGGCTATAAGCGACGTTAGGAGGCCCATTAGGGTTCCTATTTGTTGGATTAGAATATCTATCTTTTCAGATTGTTTGATTATAATTTGCTCTAATGAGCTTGTTGACTGAGACTGCTTAATCTCTGTTTTTCTATTCCAATAGCTAGTATTTGAAGTACTAGGCATATTTTCAAGCGTGTGTTCCGTCTGGTTGTTTGCTGAATGTTGTCTAATATAACTGGGAGATTTCAGAGGAGGGAAGTCAGCTAATTGGGGTGCAGGTTTCAAGTATTTTAGCTTGTCTGCCGGAGGTTTAATTTTTCGTGCTTTTATTTCCTTGTACACTTGGCAGCCTTTGTAGTTAGCCGGATGGTCACCATTGCAGAGAGCACAGGTAGCGGGTGTGTTGTTGTCTTTCTTTGGGCAGTCTGTAGTTTTGTGTCCTTTTCCACATTTAACGCACCTGTATGGGCGCATACAGTTGTTTTTGGTATGCCCGTATTGTTGACACCTTGTGCACTGAGGAATTTCAGTTGATTTTCTTGGATCTTCAATCTTGACTCTTGTGTGGTATATATACTCTATGTTCTTTATTTCTGGGTTATTGGGGCCTGGTTCTATGTTTACAAAGAACATGTTCAAGGGCTTTTTGTTTATTCTTGATCTTGCGCACACAATTTCACCACGTACCTTGTTACCTGTTTTTTCAATTTCTTCTATAATAGATATTTTTGGTGTGGTGTGATGCAAGTTTTTTACCACAATTCTATAACATTTATTTTGCTTTTGAGTAAATGTATGACCAATTAGACCTTTGTTCCGAATGAGTTCTATTAATTCTTTATATACATCAGTAGATTGTGTCGTGATTCTTAAATGATCTCTGTTTATGATTTTGTATGAGTAGCCGTCACTAGGTACATTACTATTTAGTAATTCAGTTAATTTGGAGAGATCCTCTATGCCATATAATATTATAGGAGGTGGTTTGTAGACTTTTTTAGCGTAAGTGGATGAATCTTCATCAGTAGGATCTATAGGTAGTCCACTGTAACTGTTAGAAGTACTGATTCCTGTTTGTGTTTTTTGGTCGAGTTTTTGGTATTGTGGAGGACTATTTGATAGTCTCTTCCTCTTGGGGTAGCGGCTTGTAGGTATTCTTTGCCAGGAGGGAGGAGGGCAATCATTGTTAACTAAATGATCATTATCCATTATTACGGGAGTAGCAGGTGGGTTCTTTGACTCAGTAGTCTTGATATTGCTCAATGAAGAAGACCTAGGTCTTGTGATGAAGAGGCCTGGATGGAGAGCCTGCTGGGTTAATTTTTTATTTGTGCTGGTAAAAAAAGTAACATAACAAAATAAAATTATACGACTATTAAAATACAACTAAAAACAACCAACTACCAATCATCAAGAACATACAAACATAAAAACTAAACTAAACTATCTTATCTAACGATTCACGATCACTGATAAGCAGGGCTCTGCTGTTTTCATTCTTTCTTGCAAAAACGCGCCCGTTGCGGATCCATACAAACTTATATTGACATTCCTTCGCTTTAATTCGAGTAGCAGAATAAAGAGAACTGTTTTCAGGCGTCAAATGCTCAGACACGAAGATAGGATTTATCATTCCACTAATGCCAAGATGTCGCGAGTTTAGTTTGTCACGCGGATTATTTTTATTAAATTTGCTTACAGCCGCAATAAAGGTGTCGCGCAAAAGAGGGCTTTGTAACTTCACTACTACTGAGCGAGGTCTACTCGAGGATTCTTTATTTTTCGAAATTCTTGTTACGTGATGCAAGTCGTTGGGCAAAAGCGGACAGTCCACAGAATTGGCAATTTTGCACACGGTGTCAAACAAATTTTCAGATTTGGTCTCCGGAATACCATTGATAATAATATTATTCGCACGCATATGTTGTTCGACAGAGCTCAGTTTTTTTTGAAGGTCTGCATGCGAAGACTTCAGCTTCTCATTGTCCGCTGTTAAATTTGCAATAATAATGTTTTTTTCATCATTTGAAGCCTTCAATTCGTTAAGTTGCAGATTCAAGAGAGAGATCGATTCCTGGAAACTAGAAAACTGTTCTGAAAGATTGCTGAGCTCAGTCGTAACAAGTTGCTTAATCGTCGCAGTAAGAATAGATGACAATTCGTGTTGCAGAATATCCCTTAGCTTATCTTCGGTGACCACTGTTTGGCTCGGTGCTTTAGAGTAGGGCTTACCGGCGGCCTTCGGGCGCAATGTAATATTGTCTACGAATGTTTTCGGACTCGAGTCTTCAGAGCTCGGATCGTGGGCGCTATCTTCTGAGTTAGACGTTTGCAATGACCCTGTCGATTTAAGAAGTTTTCGTGTGCACGCAGGACACTTGAACGCCACTTTTTTGTCTTGCATACATATCAGCGAACCGCCCAGGAGAGACCTCCGCGCAAACGAGGTCGTATTTTAATTTACAGGTTTGACAACACAAGAAGTCTTTGTTATGCAAATCCTTAAAACATTTAGCACAGGTCGTTGAAGGCGCCATCATAATATTTTAAAAAGTATTTGCTCTCCGTTTCACACTATCATTAAATAATAAATAAAAATAAATTTCTAGTCAATTCACTCGGGATCGATCCGTGGCTGTACGTTGGGAGGACTTCGCGCAAGCCGTTACACCAAACGATCATTCATAGGCATAATTGGAATAAATGTTTATATTCTTCTGTATCAGTGGAGTACAAATGACATTTGACATTTACAATACAATGTACGCCGGCACGGTAATGTTCGAGAACCCACTGACACTATATGCGCTGACTGTTTATTATGCTTTACAAAGTTCACACACGGTTTAGCACTGAAATAATTACTGTAAATTGATCGGCCCCGCTTACAGTAACTGTTTATCGAATCATATTATTGGCAGTTGAATTAAATATGTTGTAATTCGATTTTAGAACGAGAGACGACGTTAACGTGTGCGCGAGCGCGGGTAGATTAGTGTAGTGATCTACTTGTGCTACTGTTCCTAACACTATTTTAAGACAAGCTCATATATAGATAATATGTTATAGAGACAATTTATAGGAACTAATTAAGCTCTTCCCGGTAGTCGCTCCGTAGACATTATTAACTGTAATTCCACGTAAACTCTGTGACTTCAACCCGATATATACTCAAGCTCTTACGCGTGGAGATTATATAATTTTCAAGCATAAATGTGGATTATGTCAGGCGGTAGAGGGGTTATATCGGGATTCAATAAATGCGCTCAATTTTACGTATCGATTTTATGTAGGTACGGAGATAAAATCGTTACTTGCCTATATACATTACAATAACAGGTCGAGGTTTTTTTGTTATTAAAATAGTTTCGTACCAGCCTTAAAGGATTGTAGAATTCAATGTCTGTTGGTGTTATCAAAAAAATTAAATACTAGGTTTTATGTACTATATGTATGAGATACTTAATCGGAATAATTGCACTTTTTATATGTATTTGAGTACAAAATAAACGTGTACTATTGCATATTGAATGCGGAGAATACAAATTTAGTCGTGCGCAAATGCGGTACACGTTTAGGTGTTCTACGTCTATGCCATTCGGCGTGGAGAACTAAAATTCACAATGATGAATAAAATACTGTTATATTTACGGAGTAAGTTTAACTAATAATTTTTAACTTAATTTTTATTTAATTCATACACGTGCTTTTAGACGATAACCTCTAACACTACGTACGGCATACGGGATACTGTTAGTTGAGCATACAAACTTTGTTACACAGACTGTGTGGGTATGTATAATTATAAAAAAAAAATGGTTTTTAATAACGCCTTTAATTAAGTGATAATTTTGATACAACGTAAAATAACCCAAAGTTTGTTCCAGATAAGAAAAATATCGTTAAACTAGTTATTTTTTGCCAGACTCTTTGGCGTAACGGTAGCGATGTCTAGCTAATCGTCGTAAATTATCGTCGTGGGTTTGACCCCCACCGTGTTTGTCTAACGTATGTGTCTGAAACACGTCTGGTAATCTGGATATGAAATGGGTGGTAGGAATATCGAAATAACGTCCTGGTCACAAAACAATAAATTCGATAAAACGTATCGTCTATGTACAAATAAGATAAGTTAAAGTAAGTTCCCAGGGAAAAATTCATCGCGCGATGAATTTTAAATTAAGCTCGAATCTGTGTTACAGATCAAAAATTTATTATTAATTTTTGTGATAGTCCCGCAGCACATACAATTTGCATGGAATTATAGTAATAAATTGTTCGTAACGACGCAAGTACGTGACGAGTCGTACGGTGTGCGCGCCGCTGATAACCAAGTATATTATGAGGAGATTCGATAGACTTATTCGTACGTGTCCACAGATTAAGGCTTTATTGATTAAACGTATTTCGCAAGTTGATACTAATTTTAATATTAAAACTAGTGTTGTCTCTATCTAGGCCTTCCCTGTATTAAATTAAAGATATGTCACTATGGCAGACTACTTTAATTGGTATTTAGTTGCTAGACCGTCTTACAGACTCATCGACGTCACCAACGTCACCAGATAATAAACAGTGTTTTGAAAACAAGAAGTATTAACTTACGTCATTTGTAGAGACGAACCACGCCATTTCCGTGCTGGAAGCCAGTTGACCGTTGACCAGGCATTTAATTTCACTCTTAGTCCATCTGTTGTAAATGTAAACGACTGCTATCGCGTACCACCTATGCAGAAATCGTTAAAACATTAAATAAAAATTGATGAAATGAATAGTGTACGAGACTTGTTTGTGAAGTCAAACCAAATTGTACGTAAAACTACAGATAATACACAATATATTTGTTCAAATACAGCGTCTCGTTGATTGACGTGGAATCCCACAAGTAACGAAATACAAACCGAAGTGAATTTCTTTTTCCCCCAATTTTCCTCGTCCCGTGTATTATTCTTGAATTTTTTAGAGATAAAACGTTATATTCGGCATCTGCCGCATCAAATTAAGTTATTAACTGAGCTCTGAAAATACTAGTGAACTCACCGCCTGGGTTGAAACTCGTATTTGACGCAGTGCTGGAACCCTTTGCCTCGCACTTTCATGGAGGTTAGCACGAGACAGTTTCCCACGAAGTGCGCCGTGTAGCCGACACCCTTGCTCGTTTTGAAACTACAAAAGGAATAATTCGATAAAACGCTCAAAAGAAACGAAGTTTTCTCGATCTTTTAGTATTTAAATAAACACATACCAATATAAATATGGCTTCTCTCGTTCGATGTTCACCGAGTTTATAGGATCTAGGCGAAACCAAGTTGTGAATGTGAATCCGTTCTCGTAGGGCCACCGCGCTAACGGAGGAAGAACTACGGCCTGCAAGTGTAACGTTACTTCGATAAACAAATATCCACTCAAAGAGCACGTGTCAGACGCGTCAAAAAGTTGCCAGATATGAGAGTTTCAAAGATCAAATATTCCACGTAGCTTTGTCGAAGTTCTGTTGTAAAGAATCGGAAAGTTAGGCCAAACTTGGCACAAGCGAACATTTATGTAAAGCAGCAACAACTATAATTTAAATTGCTCAGTATTAGCTTAAAATAGCATTTCGGTTTGCTACATTGCGTAAAAAGGCTATCGCCGAACAAGTCCTTTACACGAACCCTCCGGCCATACAGTACCAATAAAATCTACATACCCTTCCCCCCGATTCCCTTCCTCTTTTCGATCCCCGACAACGTTATTCGTTTTGAAAGAGATCCAGGTTTATTTGTTTAACGGCCGACCGAACAAGGTCCGGTCCGGTTTACTGGTAAAATCAAAGATAACAGACAATAGAACTAATTTGGCTTAAAAAGAAAATTAGGTAACCGAGTGGACGGATAATAAAAGTGCAAGCTCACTTTAATACAATCTGTTGGGAGCACTGATTGCAACGCACGGAACAATTTTCTATTTAAGGTGAACACATGAGAGGCGACGGCGGCGAAGGCGAGGCGAGAGGGTTTTAAGAAAATCTATCCCGAATCTTTATGTATGAAGATAATTATTCTCTTGTTCATGAAAGTATAGAAGACAATATTATCGTTCGGTATTACGAGGCCTAAAAAATAATCGATTTTCACATGTATAATATGTACTTGAAAGCGTACATTTTAATCCATCAATTTCCTTCCTTTTGCCACAAACATCATATTGGTTTTTGAGACTGACTCAATGAATAACGACAACAAGGAAATGCTTCCAACGTCTTTATGACTGCGAAATTATTATATAAGAGTTGGGCAGTTTCCCCCGAGGGATGTCAAGAGCTAGGATACTGATAGTTCTATTTGTCTTTCTCGTGATGGCCGTAAAGTGTAGAAATAAATGAAGGGCAGGCACGGTTATTCCTAATGATAATAATAATAAAATTCTTTATTGCACAAACATAGGAACTATTAGAATTATATATACAAAATAAAACAGGTTTGTGCGAAGGCGGCCTTTGCATGTAGAAATAAAAAAAAGTAAAGAAGTAAATGTCGGGAAGGTGTCGATGTAGGGAGGCATTAGAAGATCTAACCAGAACATAGGTCCTACTAGAGAATAAGAGAACTAATATTGTTAAGCAATAAATATTAACATATTATATAGCACTATAACGGTGGCACGAACAGCACTGAGGGTGTTATAGACAAATACAGCTGGTAAACAAGTTAAATTATAGTTCATTGCATCGAGCGCTCACCAAACACTGGCACCGCCAAAGTAAAATCTAGTGAGTTTTAACTTCGTGTAAATATTGTTGCAAACGGATCGTCCGACCGTTCAAAAGCAAACTATGTAAAGTTTTATGCGATTGTTGCACAAAGCGGACACAGACGGAGCGGTGTAATTAGCCTTTAGATCTCAGTTTATTTGTAGCAACTGAAACGGAAACCTAAATAAGTCTTATTTAGGTTTCGCGTACGTACTTAATTCCAACTTTCATTAGGCTCGCAAACAATTAAGTCCTAATCAAAGGAAATAAGTCTTTAATACTTGTAATAAACAACAATGATGGGAGACGAGAAAATATAATAAATTTGGCGGGGAAAATTCCTTCAAGAAGGGAAATATTTCCGCGTCTTTGGATTAATAACTAACTAGATTTATGCTGAGGATTACGAGACTCCCTTTGAACTTCAAAAGGATGGAACTGTGTTTAATTACTTGGGCGATAATAACAACCACGGCGCGAGCGGTGGCAAAACACAAATTTTCGTAATCGCTGCAATAAAATCGATTTGAAACGTGGCTTGTGTTCCAACGGCCTGGTAACAAAATCGGAGTGTACCTTCTTCCATTTTGAATGTTACGTGATTAGAAACATTGGAGACATTATGTTTAGTGAAAGTTTACTACTTATAAATTGTGTAATTTTACATGTTCTTAGAATTAGTTCACTATTTTCAGGTAATGTTCATTTGTTAATTGACTTACGTGAATAATTAATATCGGTCGATAGTGGGGTGAATACTAAAATAATGTTTCATTTAGTCCTCCATCTAAATTCAATGTGACACAAAATAAAAGGAATAAATAGGATGAACCGATTTCTTGGGAGGGCTTCAGACACTTTATCTCAATAAACACTTTCAGATTGTAGCTCGTTGAATACTTACTTGAAAAGTGGTTTTTGATGAGTTCTTAAATGAAATAAATCCGAGCTTTAAACTTTGATATTGAAAAATCACAGAAAACTGCTTTTTTGTGTTTTTATTTGTGTTAGATTTTCCTTAAGACTGCCTACATTACTAAAGTTATTAGAGGACGCCCGACACAGTGTGGTCGCAAGTGAATAACAACACTGTTGTTTCACACACACTAATTATTGCATAACAAACAATTAGCAAACTTCATTATCAATATCATAGTCTACACGACATATTGACGCTGATTAACTGTCAGTGGTTCGGCCACTGGCATTGATAAGTGATGGTTTCTAACATTCCGAAGATCCAAACTTTGAAACATATGTTAAAATTGATAGAAAATTCAAAATAATGAAGAAGGTGCCTTCATGACAAAGGTGTTCATTTCGCATAATTCATCGTAGCAAGCGTTCATTCCGTGACGTCATTCGTCAAGTTGCGAATAAACGAAGAAACGAAGAAAAAGAGCGATGGGAGGGTCCGTGATAAATAAGGAAAACTGACCGAATACGTTTCAGCTGCGAACGTAAGCTATAAGTTTTTGGAAGGGCTCTAGCAGTTTCGAATTCGTGTCAGAATAACATATTGGATTTTTTTGTATCTTTCATAAAAATAAATATTAACTTTATAGTTGGCTTCTTTTCTGTAAAATTTAGCTGCCAAAATTTTATTTCGTTCTCGATCAGTCTACTTTCTTACGTCATAAACTGGTAAGAAATATAGATAGAATGAATGTTAGAACTTGCTCACTTTCAAAAGTGTCGTTTAAACACTCCGAATATATATTAATAATGCAGATGTATTGCTCAAAAAGAAAGTAATCTCAGTAAAAGGAGATAGACGAGCATGTCAGAGGGATTACAGAGAATTTGAATAAAATCTTAACGCAGCGTCGGAGGATCCCAACTGTCCGTCTGTCCTTTTTCGATTATCGATCGCTACAGATGGTTCTGTAGCCTTTAGAGGGATTTATCTTTCCGAAACATACGTTGCTTAGAGCAGGGCTTAATAAAACTCTGTTTATTCCTTTTGTCCCTTGTTTGAGTAGCAGCTAAATGTTACAATATTTTGTCAATGTAATAATGGTCATTAAATTAAATTTAAAAAACCTACTCTTGTATAAAATATGATACTGATTGTATGGATGGTTTAAGTCTCTTTCATTCGATTAAAATGTCTTTGGACATTACATATAGTAAAATAGAAAATATAACACCAAAACCCGAAAACTTCCTTTCTGGGTGGAATTAAATCTCAACCCAACTTCATCAACTTGATTCGAAACTTGAGAAGTAAAATGCAGATCCGGAGGCACTTGAGGTTAGAGCCAAGGGTCTGGAATCCATTATCGGAATGCCTTAATTAGTACCATTTAGGGGCAGGGCGGGCATCCCCCGGGCGCGATAAATTACCCCTTATATTCGCCTTTAATTACTTCACGCCTCAGGATTATGTAAAAATCCTCCAAACAAAATTATTTTGCCAACAGCTCTTAACAAAACAAATTAATTTTTGTTGATTAAATTACCATTTGTGTAATGTTATTTGATGTTTAACGATTGGATTTGTTTGTAAATTATTAAGAGGATATTAACCTATTTGTAGATTTTAGATAATTTATTTTTTTATTGAAATAAACAATTTTACAAGTTTAATTTTTAGGAATATAAATTGCTCCAAACGTGTTTAAAGACAATGCTATAATAGTTCAGTTTAAACATAATGTTAGCGACGTTGAAATTTTGCAACGAATGGCTACTTTCTATTTACGAATAATGATTTATTTCGAAGTTTGATTCGTTTAAAATAAGTAGTATACAGTAAAAATGAAAATAAAATAAAATAAACAATGGTATAATGTCTCTCTTTTTACGTATTTTACATCTACACATGTTGTATCCCTTTGTAGAATGCCTCCTGGTAATTAGTTTATTTTATTGTATTTACATTTTAAAATTATACCTAAGAAATAATGCTTGTTGCATAATATGTAAGAAGCATTATATATATATATATATATATATGTCATATTGTGAACCTCAGACGCAACACATGCCGTTATACACCAGGCCTAATGACACGGAAAAAAGCACGTTTCAAAAAATTACACACGTAATAAATAATGATCGCTACCGTTACAGAAATGACATCTTGATTCAAGGCAAAAATATAAGCGTTGAATCGATTTTTATTTTTACAATTAACACATACAGGGGGCGTAGCTCAGATGGTAGAACGCTCGCTTAGCATGCGAGAGGTACCGGGATCGATACCCGGCGCCTCCAGGTTTATTCTTTTATAGTAAAGTTACATGAAGTCTCCGCCCTATATCTAAGTCACATTAATTCAAGCACAATAAATATTACAAATCTCTAAGAGGAATTGAATTATAGGACTAAGAAACTACTATCAATAACCAGTACAGTTTTCGTAGTCTGATTGACTTTATATGAATCAAAAATAAACTTTATTTTCTTATACGTAATAAAATAGATATGCACTGGAAACTCTTATTTGAAACTACAATTACGAAATGACTCTCGTCGTTTCTCGAGAACAAAATTCACGAGTAAACAAGGCGAGAAATTGCTCAATATTGTCTTTGCTCGCGGCGATATAAAGTTCATTGGATTTAAACAGGTCGTTAAAATCACAAAGTTTCACATCGGGGGCGTAGCTCAGATGGTAGAGCGCTCGCTTAGCATGCGAGAGGTACCGGGATCGATACCCGGCGCCTCCAAGACTTTTTATTTTTAAATTTCCTACATCTTTAACAGATGCCATCCACGTCTGGCGTATTGCCAGGTTATATATAAAATTTATTATCACAAAAAAAACTCTTCTGAATAAATTGCTTCGTAATTAAACTTACAGAACCCTTCCTGCCAGGGAAGCTGAAGAACACATCAGGTCCATTTCTATGTGGCATTTGTCTTAATACATTGAGCAGCTTTGCCGAATGCCGCGGCTGCAACAAAGGTATGTTAATGATTAGTTAGCTGTCTAACACTTTTTACTTTGACAGATTGTTGTATTAATCCCGATAAGGTACATACATACCGCGCTTTAAAATATTGTATTGAAATATACAGGATATCTTATAGAGCTGTTTTTAAGCACATAACAAATGCATTAAACACTGTCACTCGATCACAACAAAGCAACGCAACGGTCCGGCTTTGTACCATAGTAATAATTTTCAGTGAGCAGAACATTTGTAATCCCCATCTATAAACAAGATAAAGCCGGCTGCATTCGAGCCAGCGGATAAATTCCGCAGCCTCCCCCGCATTGGCGACTTCTCTGTACTAGGGCGACATGAATTCGAGGAGCTCGTACGACCGAGCCAAATGCAACGAACCAATTACAAACCCAATTGCAATGCAACAAGAGCGTTTAAAATTTGCATCTTTGACACCGCGCGACCGGCAATTAAGCGAGAGTTTCGCGGTGTTTATGTTTCTCGGATAGTAATTGACATTTTCTGATGGTTTCTGTTTAGAGGTTGACGTTTACTCACCCATTTGCCGTTAACGGCTTTCATAGCGTTGAATAGCTGTTTTAGCTCCTTCACTGTGACACTGTAGCTGGCCAGGACACCCAGCATTTCTATCAGTAAATCTGGAACAAACACAGTGTTTAGGATAATTATGAATATTCATTCAACCGTGTACAATCCACCCACAAAAGTCAAAATGCTTGCAAATTCATTGCACTTAATATTCAGTGTATCCTAAAAAGGCGATAGCGATTATCGTATAAAATATTTATCACTCACTAAAAGCAACTTTGTTAACATGCAAATTGTTGATTTACATAATGAACCGTGGCTGTCGTATCGCGTTACAGTTTACCGGCTCCGAAGCGCAGCCTTCGGCGGGGACAGTTAGCTACAGCCGACCCTTCGGTGGTTACATTAGCAATTCCTATCGAATTAATAATTCAAGTATCGAGATGTTAAAGCGAACAGTTGCCATTGTATAGACTTCTAATTTGAGGCTCCCTTCCTAATCTACCTAGCTCTAATCTACTGACTCAAGGGACTTCTAAGTATTTCGAATAAGGCTGTCACTTTTTTAGTATCGGAGAATTGGATTTCAAATTATATTGATTCTATAATACCCTAATTTGTAGCTTCTATTCGGTTGATAACTTATTACATCTTGTTACGTGTGTACATTTGATACTCTAATAAAATCATTCAACAATTAGCTTGTACTCGAGATGTGGTAAATTCTATTTTCTAAATTATATATTCTAAAGCAAATGTGAACACGTTAACGAATCGACGAATGTTCATGACAGGTATATCGTAAGTTGTAATTGCACATACGATGCTTTATTCGATGTCTTTAAATAATCGAATTCCAACACAAAGATTAATAGTCGTATATATATATGTGTATAAAAATAATTATACGGACAAGATTGAGCCTGAGTAGGCTGCTAGGTAGGGACCTAAGAAACACTCATGTGGAAAATAAAGCATGGAATAGATTTAGCGAGGCTGAACCCGGCCCTCACTCCGTAAGCAATGCGGACGTGATATATGGGAGAACACGTCCAGCTAATAAAGGCCTATTCACAAACGTTAAGAATGGCCTATTATAACGCACCTTATGAGAAACTTGCCATTTATTACGTCTAAAAAAATGGCAATTAATCATAGGTAGGTGAGCGTTACAGAAATTTTATTTCAGGTTACCTATAATTAGGAAGCAAGCCACAAGCATTTGAATAAAGCACAATTTTCTGCTTTTATGCTAAAATATCACAAATTCTCTATAAATCAACAAAGGATTCGGTCCCGAATGTCGGTTGAGAACGCTGAAAAATACATCGCAATTCCTTTTCAAAGAGCTTTCTAAATACTTCATTAGCAAAACCAACAACCTCCATTCATTAAACAGATGACAATAGAATTCCGAGCTGTTCAGATGGCAGTCAACATCAATCACATTTTTTGTCACTTTTATTACATTATGTTATCACTTTCATTAGCGAAATTTTAGCGTGTTTCTAAAAATCGGATATAATTAATATGGGTACAGCATATCTATATTCTTATGGAGGTATAAAACAGGCAGTATCGTAAAAATATAGCCACCGCATTTCTAAAGGTATTTCGGTTTTATGTTTCTGAATGAAGTGCGCTCGTTCACGTGTAATGATAATCTCAGAAGGAGGATATATATCGCATAACATATTATGCAAATAAGAGCCACGGCTTTATATCTAGGAATCTCTTAATCTGAGAAGAGACGCGAAAGCTTGTGGCTTTCTCAAGATTCCCATTTCGTTTAAACTCCGCGATAAAGAGATTTATGTTGAGACGAATGAAATTCAAGGCGTGCCTTTAAGATAACAGCTCTTAGGAATTTGTCGAGGTCGACATTACCTCAATAATGTACTTGAATCTGAGGCTTTGGCTCCATAACAAACATCTAGACGCGTTTAAGAAGCTTTCCCTTTCAATCGGGACAGAGCAGCAGATAGAGATGTCGAGCCCTCGTAAATTAAAGAAAGTACGCCTCCTCGTCGCTTTTATCCAATACGGGAAATAAAAAGAAGCCCAGAAGCCTTAATGGCTACCGTATTGTTCCAAACGTAATCCGGGAGTCGCTGAGGTGACTAATCCCGATTTAATCCTGGAACAGTCCGGGATTGGATGCCGTCGAGTTAACCGCGGGAATTACTGGACTCGAAGGCTTTATTGTATTTCTGTATTAAATTAAGTTTCCGCCACAATTGCTCGCTGCAAGCCTGCTTTGTTTCTCGTTCCTATTTCGACGCGGAAATTATTTATTATTTGCCTCTAGTCCGCCTCGCCGCCGACTTTATAATTTCGCAATCGCAGATGAAATTAATTTTAATGATGTCGGGAAGCTAACAATAGGGGTCTCTGGAAACTATGCACATAACAGGAAATATAGTTTTGTATAGAAAGGTCTAACACGATTTATTTTATGTCAACCATCTTACAAGTTACAATAATACGAGTAAGACCTCCCAGCGAGAAAACTGACTAATGACTCGACTCAGCTTTCGTTTAAAATTCTTCACGATAGCAAAACATTCGAGATCTAAAGCGGCCGCTTTGCAAAATGGCCGCAAAAACCTTATAGAATTTATAAGATTCCTCCGTCATATGTGTCAAAATGTAGTGTCTCTTTATATTTCGTGACTATCATTTAATAGCGATCTCTTTCACTCTTGCACTTTGGACGTGGAAGTGCGATGACGTGTACGTAACGAAAACCTCTCATTAATAATAAAAATCTTGCCGAGATTATGCTAACAGCCATAATCTCAGCTTTGCATAAAATAAGATCAGCTTCTGGTCAGAGTTGTTTTATTTATTTTTTTTGCAACGGCTTAGATAATTTATACTAATATTAAAAAGCTGAAGAGTCTGTTTCTTGTTTTTTTGTGATCGCGATAATCTCAGAAACTACTGGTTCGAATTGTCTACTGGTTGAACCATTCAAATAGGTCTATCTTTAAAGATAACCTTTCAAGAATCGCTTTTATGGCGATCGTTTTTTTGCCAGATCAGCTAGATATCCATAGAACTACTCTAAACGGAATAATGCACATTATATATTTTAAGGTACTCAATTTTTAACTACAAAACTTTAATTTGCAGTTAAAAATAATTATTCATAAGTCGGACTGGTTTCCTTTCAAATCGATTTATGAAATGTGTACTTCCTACTTACTATTAATACAAATCATTACAAAACAGACGCCGTCAATATTGACTACAATGTTTCGGTGTAAACGAAGCGCATTGTCAACTTTAAAACATCGTATAGATATTCTATTTGCTATTGGGTTCATTTCGAAGCAATTACAAATGATTGTCCGTGGAGCTGTGAACAATAGGTGCAAACGAGCCCACCGCCCACACATTTAGCCTTTGTTGCAAATTAAACACTACACAGTGCGGTTTTACTAATTATCTAGTTCCGATAATATTTGCCTTTGCACACCGCCATTTTGCGTGTGACGTCATATAATTTTGTGTTTAGATATATGAGAATGTACAGTGTGTTTTGGTTTCAATTCAATTAACCACATAATTATTGAATAGGTATTGTGATTTACTTATTTGATATAAGGATACGCTTAGAGCTAGAGTTTACTATGCCATGGACATAATATAATCTGAACGGGAAAGGCATCTTTTGAAAAGAATTTTTATCTATGAATTTAACACCCCAATAAAGTAACAGTCCGGATATCATGTAATAAAGAAACATATCATATACATATCAATATATATTTAAATATACCTACAATATGTGTATACAATTAATAATATTTTTTGTTAAGGTTTTCATTGCCAACAGTAAATTAAAAAATGCTTTAAAGATACACTAGATCTCAAATGTGAAACAAATACTGAATGTAATAAAATAAAAATAATAACCTCAAAAAAAAGTCAAAAAGATTCTTATTGGAGGCGCCGGGTATCGATCCCGGTACCTCTCGCATGCTAAGCGAGCGCTCTACCATCTGAGCTACGCCCCCGGTTATTTATTGTATCCAAAAGCAGCTATATACAGCGTAATATCCTTGAGTGTTGGAGATATTGCGTAAAACTACAGTACGTGACGCGATAACAGTTGCGTGGCCTTTCACATTGCACACAGCCTTACAATAGTGTATCACATTAAGGTATATCAGACTGCCTCCGTAGTTGAGTTGTTTCCACCTTGCCATGAGCTCGAGATACCTGGTTCGATTCTCGGGAAAATAATACACATTTTTTTTTAAACTATAAGTAAAAATGGTAGACACTGGCTGTGGGAAATGCGAGATTTTTAAAATTGTAATCATAATAATTTTCTAAGTTAATTATAAAAAACGTAATCCATCAAACTTCAAAATCTTTATATAAGAGAGATAGCAAAAGTGATTCTAATTAATTGCTCCATCGAATCTTATCAAATGTTTAAAATATACAAATTATTACAATCAAAAGTACAAATCTTTAAGTTAAAAAGCTTGAAGCTATCGGAACTTATGTCAAGAACAACTAATGTTATAAATTCTGTTCTTATTACGTTTTATTAAAAGAGCCCGAAGCAAACTAAGATTACTGGCAAAAATAACATGTCAAACTTTCGAATCGCTCCCAGCAGTTAAAAACAATACACGTTTTCTAGAAATCGGTGGATAATATTTTCTCTACTAAAATGAAATTAAAATTTTTTGAATTGTTCCATCTAGTCTCTAGAATTTTGAAAATAAAATATGTAGACTCTAATAAACAGTCACAATTGCTAAATTTTTTTGTGTAAGAATATAGATTACAGACTAATATTTTTGTTGTCCTTAAAAACGCAATCTGACATGAATCATTCTGTGCCTTTTCTTAAAGATCATTGTGTTAAAATTATTCAAGTTATTGTTACATCGGGGGCGTAGCTCAGATGGTAGAGCGCTCGCTTAGCATGCGAGAGGTACCGGGATCGATACCCGGCGCCTCCAAGACTTTTTTTTAAAGTAATAAACTAAACCTTAAATTAAAAGGAGTCAAAAGCTACTCTGCTAGTTCATTATTAATTGTCTCACCTCATAATAATAACGCTTAAAACGTAAAGCGCAGCAAGGTTTTGGCAAACTTGGAAGCTAATTAAAACTCAGTAAAACAACGAAGCTGGAATTATTTACCAACTTCGTACTGGAACGTCGACCTATGAAGGCATCGTATAAACCCAACTCGTTCAAGTTTACTGACCTCCCTCTGCTTATGGTGCCTTAGTATTCATGAGAAACGGTTCAACCCTTTGAATCCACGTCAAATGCATTCCTTCGTTTTGGAGCATCCTCCTTTACATACTCTTTAGAAGGGTATTTTTTAAATATTTCAGAGAGTCCATACCTTTTTTATGGACCTGTAAATCCGTAATAAATCTCGACCGGTTCTTTATGCCTCAAGTTTCAACGTTTATTATTAGCGTATAATAAATAAACCATTAAAACAGTAAAGATTAATGAAGTATTTATTTTTTATGTTAATGTTAAAAGACCTAGGTAAGCATAAGCTACCACGACACATTGACCCCGTTTGCCCGGAAACAAGTAACCAGGGACATAAAAAGCAATAGGGCGACGTTACCAGGGCGAAAGAAGAACACAATAGGTTCACGTGTTAAACACACGCACCCTTAGTAGAGCAGGTACTTTTTCGATAACAGATGATTTTCTTGGTTTCATTTTTTGTAATAATAATAAGGTTCATTTAGTTGCATTTCAACAAAACAAAGAAACGGTTCTTGTAGTACATGTAAGACGTTCAATGAAGACGCGTGTTACAGCATCAATTTCTTAAAATTCCCGATGTTACCAGGAGACCATGGCTTCAAGCGGGTATTTGTACAGTACAAACTACTTAAATCTTTTGTGGAGCGTTTCCAAGAAGGGTCCGGAACCCCTTAATAGGCGTGGGTATTAATTACAAGATCCTTACTAGGACACCATAGCAAATGTGTAAGTCCTCGAAACCCCTATCAAATGTAAAGCTGTAATGGGCGAAGCTAAAGAGTTATTGTGGATCAGGTTTCGTAAGACTACTCTTTTGCCTAGGAATTTCTTTCTTAAGTTGAGAATAGTGATCGGCTTAATTTTGAACTTAAAAAATAAGGACAAGCTAGCTATCCTCAAATATAGGCTCTATAAAATAACTAATTTATTTCCGAGGAATCGTATTTGTATATATAATACGTTGCCAGTTGAAGTTTCAAATTTATCAATAAATAAGTTAAAAAAAGACATGTTGAAAAAAGCCAGACTGAGTTTCTTGGGTGTTCTTCTCGGTTATATTGCTCTTTTGAACACTCTGTAGAATCACTACGAACGGACAGACAAACATATTATTCAATTTTTTTGACGATTCTAAATAATTTTGATAATTTTATAGAGAGTAAACTATATTTTATTTTATTTCTTTTGATATTCTTTATACTATGATTATACATATATTCAATATTTAACTCAAATAATGTCTTATAAATAAAGTACCTGCGACAACGGTCTCTGCCCGTGGTAGCCTCTGGAGAACATGGTGAATAAGACCCACATCTGTACACGCCTGGAGATTGCGAACGCTCTTGCGCAAGATAGCAATGAACACCGACCAAATCTCCGCCTGTAATAGAAACAGGATTCATAATTTATGATAACACGTTGATAATATTTAATATCAACTCGACACGAATGCAGTGATACTATACAATATTGAAACGACAAAGAGGATATGTATACGGAGTCGGAGATTTAGAACAAGTGGATATCTGTGTGCGCTGGCTGTGACGCGGGCACAACTAACAAGTCCGCAGAGTTACACCCTTATTGGAAATTATATTCAGTTTTCATTCGCTAGTGCATTAAAATTGTACGATATTTATTAGCTTTATCAATGGGTTACGAATAAGACACACGGAACAGGCCGCAAGGATGTTTGTGAACTTTAGTTTAGTTAGTAGTTAGTTTAGTTTACAGATACACTTGCCTTTATTTAATTATTATGCTAAGTCATCTTAATTAGTTTACGCGAGTAGTACACATTTAAATAAAACACTTTAACGGTTTAAAACGCGATATATTAGTTAAACTTTTTTGAAAATTATTTTTAACTTCGGCCCGTCACGGCTGCTGCAAACCATCCGAAACGTTACGTAACCGAATATATCGCGTTTTAAACAGTTAAAGTGTTTTATTTAAAGTAATTAGTTTTTCTTTCGTATTTTTTTGATACCGAAGAGATTTCATTTCAAAATGACCGAAGCCTCATACTTCTCGTAGGTATAGTATTTCATTAGAAAGCACATGTTTAAAGAAATAAACATATGAAACATTATTAATGTTCAGGGTTAATAAAATCTCAAATAGTAAGTGATTACATATCAGCCTTTCTTCGCAATTACTCAACGAATCGGCGAGGTCTGAATGTTTGAAAACTATGTCTCTCTATTCCGGTATAGAATATCAAACAAGGGAAGTTTTCTCATTAGAGTCGTTGAGGGCGACAATAAAACGGTTACATTCCGTCTTGATTGCTTTGACCGCTTGTCGCGTCCGCCGCTTACCGCTGTATGACCTACATCTATTTTAAACGATCTTTTAATTACTTTCTCTTGTAAAATGAGTCGTCTAAAACTGAAGAGACAAGATTTTCTCCCTCGTGTGAAACTCAACAATGATTCGTAGAGGCTGTCGTCGAAATGTAAATACCATCATATTAGCGAAAACCTAATAAGATGACTCAGGGTATTCTCGAACTCATCAATCTTCCGGTTCTGTTGATATTAGTATTTTTCACATACAGGCACGTTCGAGCTTATGAAAGGAACAGAGCTTGATTCCAAAGCGATTATAAATTTGTCTCTTTCTTATTTTTAGAATAAATACAAACATAATGGCTAGTAATATAAAATAACTTGAAAAAATTTGAAGAAAAAACTTCGTAACCAAAAAAGTTACAATGTGTACAATTATTATTTTTAAAATTATATAATTCTTAAAAACCGCAAATTATCTTTAAATCACGGAATAGCTACCCCTATGGTGGTACGATACTAGGCGAATATAATATCTAAGAGTCATTAATACGACGGGGTTGTTTAGCTTAGCTAGTTGTTTGTAAAAGTTGTCGTATAACAGTGCATGCTTTTTTGCATTTTATTTGTAAATAAATACTTAGAGAAAGTGGAAAATGATTAGATAATAACTAACCTGTAAGCTCGGAGGACAGTGATCTAGAAGTTCAAGCATGTGTTGGATATTCTGCGCGTCTTGAATCACAAAATTTAATTCCATGTCGAACTCGCCGCCCACAAGCTGAAACAAAAATATCTCATATCACTTATAAGTTTCTAATATCCACTACACTTATAGTTTAAACTATGTTAACATTTCATTATCCGTTGTACATTTTCGAAAAACCCGACGCACAATGGGGTTTGTTCCGTTTGTTCGACGGACATTCAATTTGTGCGACCGGTCAATTCCTACATAAGTCTAAGCGCCTGGTACCCGTAGCTTTTTGTTCTGGTTAACAATAGAAACTAAACCAGACATGAAAAATAGGTCCATTCTATAAATAACTACCCAAAAAATAACCGTCACTATGTTTAAAAGCTATTTTCCGCAAGCCAAAAAAAATCAGATCTCTGCTTATGGGGCAATAAATTAGCATAAAATTGTGTAAGTTACCAGGACCACATTATCCACAAAGCGGTGTCAAATCCACAACAATCGGTTATGGGATAACAAACGGGCGTAGCTCAATGTTTAGGCGCCTGAATAAAAAGCAGATAGATTCCTTTGGAATACCATTTTTTTAGTTCTCAAAGACATCATCATAGCGCCTTAATTCGATATTTAAATTGTTTTACTAATTAAACGAACCAACCAATTAAATAATACTATAACAAAGTTGCAGCCTGTAACGTCGAATGCACGGTATGTGTCACTTATACAAACGTGATTATAGCCGGCTCAGCTGGTAATTCAATTGCTTGTCCGGCCGGTTATCGCCAGAGGTTATATCCGGGTGGATCCTGTTACGGACCTCTAATAATAACGAAGGAAACAAGGGATTCAGCTTAGTCCATTTCCCCGATTGATATTAACTGGCCTGTCGGAATAGTTCGATTTTATGTTAGGTCTTAAGTCCTGAATATTCCTGAACTATTGCATTGAATCAAAAACTTGTAACTTATGTTACGTGAAACTGAAAATTGCTTATTTTGAGTTTCACATCTAAAGTAAAAACAACACGATGTAACGGCCCTTAAAATATTTTTTTATTTATGAGTGAGTACCTTTAATTATGTTGGTAAGTAAATACATTTTCAGTTTTTTTAGTAAAAAGAAAATACATTTCGTACCACACGCGCTATTTATCTGAAGAAAAGAGGTCAGTTTTATTCAAATGCGAGCACCTTACCGTCATGACATCTGCAGCTTTAGGTCGCCTACTTTGCATGAACATTCGCACCGTAATTACTGAAAGAGCCACCGCGGAGAAATGTTTCCCTCGCATTAAAACGCGTTGCACCTTCTTATCGTATGGTATCGTGACTCCGTTCTTATGAAAGACCCCAACTTGAGAATAAACTTTATCATCATAATCAAATGACCGACAAATTTAATGAAATTCTTGATTGAATTTATTGAATTTAATGAAAATAGACGAAACAATTACAACAATTTTTAAATCATAATTTTTAAGAAGAACGAATACTGTCGAAAATAGCACCTTTTATTTCTTATTTAGTAAAATTATTCAACTATGAAAGATCAAAATGTAAAAAACAATTCATGGAGTAAAAAAATTCAGGAATGAATATTATTCAGAAAAATAGAATTCAAATAAAAAACTATGTGTTTTTATTCATCTATACAAATATTTAAAGTTTGTTCGTTTGAACGCCCTAATATCAGGAACTACGGGTTCGAAATTAAAAAAATCGTGAGTAACATCTTAATTTTAAAAAGTGGAGGTTGTAAAAACAAATTTGGATGCCCAAAATAGCTATTCTATGCGGACGAAGTCGCTGATACAGCTAGTTAAACATAAACAAATTGTAGAGCTCGCAGAAATTCATTGAGTACAACTGTTTGTTCTAGAATTATAGAAAATTTGTTGAAACACGACGTGTTCTTTTTAAGATGAAATAAAACCCTATTATGTCGTTACTTTGTGATTTATCTTTATTAGAGAGAGTTTAAAGAAAAAAGGGATACACTGTTCATTCTTTATTTACAAGTTGACTAACAAATGCATTCCAGTAAAACGGGTTGCGTACCCCAAACGGTCCCCTATCCTATCGACTTTTTAATATCCTTAAGGGTATGAAACCCTAGTATCACGATTAGATACATTGTTAAATATCGTTCGGAGCCAGCCCGTTTTGCACACATTGTCCGGGAAATTTAAAATACCAAAAAGGACTCGCACTCTCTCTCTCTCTCTAATTTTAGAAGAGATCAATGAACAGAAAAATGTATGTCTAAGTATCAAAATGCTACTACTACTTTTATTATTTATTACTACTAGTACTTTTTTATGTTCTTCCTATATAACTTACTGTTTGGTATAGGATGTTAAAATAAATAAAAAACATAAGTTTGCAAGGGATCCAAAAGAATCGATGGCAAATCACATTTATGCAATAAATGTACCAGGAACCTATAATGCAAGAGAGATTTATTTTGCAAAAATGGATGCTGCGACCCCCGTGGTTAGGGTGAGATGAAAAGGGCGGCAAAACGAGGTACACGGTGCCATCAATTCTGACTCGTTAAATATTTGCTGATCTCGTAATAGACGATTAACCAGCCATTCGCTGAAAATTAAAACGTCGCCTTAGCTCAAATATTTAATTAAAGCCTGCTTTGATATTGTATTAATTTAGTATAAACGTGAAATATAATGTCATTTTGCGTGCTATTATAATTTAAGCGTAAATTTATATGATTATATGTATATGCATCTGACGTCAAACATATACATATATCGAGTATATCTACCGTTAAATTCACAGACCCTCTTTATTTGTAAACCAAATTCCACAAAACCAAACAATAATAACAGCACGTTAGTTCGAGTGCTGTAATTTATTCCTCATTATTCGCAGCGGTACAATGGACCTTTCGAAAGGGTTAAATAGCTTTTTAGAGTAGGACTGCCCAAACAATTGTGGACGCCAATACATATACGTATTCATATACTATGTCACGTAATGCATAGATCGATTTTAATAAGACTTACATTTCATAACAAATATTTTACTGTTGTGAACGCCTAATAGATATTCCCTAAAAGTTTAACATACAAGCGTCTCGAATGGCGGCCACAGACAATATATAATTGTATATGTGCACAAAGTGAAAGGTGAGTCTACCGCCGCGCATATTAACTAGAGCGATTCAAATAATTAATCGATATTTGATTACGATTTACAACGGGGGCGTAGCTCAGATGGTAGAGCGCTCGCTTAGCATGCGAGAGGTACCGGGATCGATACCCGGCGCCTCCAAGTTTTTTGTTTTATATTGAGTTATTCTTCTAACCTTAGCACGCTGGATGTAATCAGTAATAAAGGTAATATATAAGTATAAATCACTTTAATGTTATAAAAAATTGACAATTTATTATAAAAGTCGAGTTCAAAATGCTTTGTGGAATTTCAATAACTTCTTTTAACGTACGATCAGACTTTGATTACAAAAATTCCCTGTACCGGGGAAGAATTTAATTATTGTCTGTCTACCCTTGCACGTGGTAAGTATGAAAGAGTAATGTTTCAAAAGTAATAATGTAAAATTTAATTTATGATATCTATAATTTCATATTGAACGCAATTTAATTATTATTTATTTTAAATTGTGTTATGAGTTACTGTTTCGCATATCTTAAAGTGTATTTACATATTTTTTCTTTGATAAATAAATAAATATCATTATCAAGATGCCATTATCGTAGTAGAGGACTGAAAGGTTTAAATGACCGAATCTGAAATATCCGGGACATTTCACACTTCAGAGCACTGAGCTGCCATCTATCTGCAAATTAATGCAAACGTCAGAATCAGGCAATGAAATAGTTCACTGAACAACGGGTAAGTGCTACGTACGGTATATATCCAAACGCTTTCACGATGACAGTCTATTCTCGTGTCTTTTGAAAATTTGATAACGTGAACTTCAAAGAGTGAACACAACGACGAAATTTAATAATGTTGGAGACAAACGACAAGAATAAATTAGGTATTTATTATCTCCGCTTATCATTTCTGCATACCAATAAGGCTTTAAATAAATTAAGCAAAAGAATATGGTGCTGTATTTATCAATTCGTATTGAAATATATGAAGTACAATAAATACGCTTCGCCTTAATAAGAAAGTAACTCAATATAAAAGTGAAGTAACGTTTAATCTAAGCCATTTACTGGAGGGCATCTTACGACTTAATAAGACGCTATAAAATTCACATCGAAAGAAGAAAGATTTTCTACCGATTTATGAACACTTAACGTCACAAAGAGCCCCACTCAAATTATTACAAGCGTTCCTTACAAAGCGGAGCCCGCAAACATCCGTAGGTTTCAGTCGACCTTTATTTCCTTCCCCTCGCAATTACACATATCTCGTGAAAGAAACGGGACGAGTCTTTGACCTCAAAGCTTATGTCAAGTCACTTGAGATTGTTCTTCCATGGGCGATCGTTGCGTTATAATATGTTATTGGAATGTTTCGATTTCGAGTCAGTACGACGTCAGTACGTTAGGCGGGCGCGACCGGAGTGACAATGGTGTTAAGTGCGACCAGAGAATTAGTCGGAGAGCCCGCACGTCCCGCTGGATCCGACCACTTTGTTGCAATTTGGGCCAATTCTCCTTCCCTATCTACGAGCTGTGCCTGCAAATGCGCTCAATTTGCATACCGATCTTAGTCATCCACGGACGTAGTTTTTGTATCAAGCGAAATTCTCTTATAATATAATAAAAAATATCGGCATATTTACTATGTACTCGCAGTATATTTATGAAATTGTATTGTATGCCCATAAGAATAGTGATAGACATAATTTAAACTTAAGGATAAGCTAAACAAATTAATTTGCGGGGAATTGTATTCGTTTGTATATACATTGCCAGTTGGTGTTTCAAATTTATCAATAAATAAGTTCAAAAAAGTCATAAAATTTAGATTGTCTCAAAAGCCTGTTTAAAAGATTTATTTAAGACATGTTGAAAAAAGCCAGACTTAGTTTCTTGGGTGTTCTTCTCGGTTATGTTTCTCTTTTGAACACTCTGTAGAATCACGACGAACGGACAGACAAACATATTACATATTTAATTGTTTTTGAATCTAAATAATTTTTATAACTTTATAGAGAATAAAGTATATTTCATTTTATTTATTTAATGACAGTATAGAGCGTAAAACCTAATTAATTTAATGAGGGCCCACATAGAAAAGTAAATTGGGAAAAGGATTAGCCGTTAGTGCTATAATAACACGTTGCATTATGCGACGGAACCTAATCTAATTCGGTAGCGGACATAGACAAGCGCAATTTCGATTCATCCGCTGAGGATAAAGCTGTCAATTAATTAATATTGGAGCGATAATAATTATTAGAAAGCGATCAAAGGAGTACCTGATTCGCCGAATAATGAGAATAAGGGTACGTAATCTCGGCCGATGAAGGAAACACTCTACGTAATATGAATTGGCAGGTAAAATCATGGCGTATAAATTCAATAATTAAATACAATAACTATAGGTGGGATTAATCTATACTAATATATAACGTTGAAGAGTTTGTTTATTTGTTTCTTTAAACGCGCTAATCTCAAAAAGTACAGGTTTAATGAAAAAAAAAACAACACGGAGCGAAGATTCAGTGGGAAATATGGAAGAAACGGGGAACATTTTTCTTCTTTGTGAAAACTGTTCAAGATAAAAAAAAATGTATGAAAGAATGACTCCTCTGTAAATGATCTACAATATGTCCGTGTCAGTATTTATTTATCTTTTAACACTAACTTTCAAAACCGATAGGACGGACGACGTCTTTTGTAACAGTATTATTTATAAAGATAACGTTTGAAAAACTAATTTTGATGCCCAAAACAACTATTCTGCGCGGACGAAGTCGCTGGCAGGGCTAATAATTTCATAAGGCAATTTTTATTAAAAAATAAAATACTTATATCTGGTGGCAACTTAACGAAAACGATACGGTGGCACTTAAAGTCAATCAAAGCTTTAATATATATTGCGTTTAAATTAGTATTTTTCAATATTATGCTCCTGATGTAACGGCAACAAATTTACAAATTACCTCTGCGTGCCAACCTTCTTTCAGGACTTACCGCGGGACGAATAAATGGACTTTACGAAGCTTGTATTTAGTCGTAGGAGGAAAGTTAAAGCATAAATAATTAAGCCGGACCAAATGAAAAGTACACTTTTACGACGTCAAAATCAGTTACCTGTCCTCCAAATAGAAGCATTGAAAACGAAATAA